TCCAGTTTCTCTTCTGTTTCACTATTTGAGGGAATATATACTCAGAGTATCTATTGATGAACTTACATTTTAAAACATCTGTTACATAACTTGCACAGAAAATTTATTACTATAGAAAATAAGCTGAAATTGCTTATTGGATAGGTATTTGGGTCTCATGGTTTCCTAATTAATTGTAACTTTTCTGGAACTAAAAGGTTAATACATTTGACTTTTAGCTGTGGCCCTGTGTTCTCTGCCATTCATTTTATCTGATTATGGCTTGCCTCAACAATTTTTCCAAGCAATGTGCAGCCATACGTTTTGATAAAAAAAAAAATACTGTTTCAAAATAGAATTCAAATTTCTAAAAGGAAGCATTTCTCAAATATGAATCCTTAAGTTGCTTCTTGGATGAAATTACAGATATTTTAGTAGAATCAAAACCTGAAATGTGGTGTGCAAAGATACTTGGTACATTGATAAACTTCCCTCGGGGGCTCTGAATGTTTAAAGCAACAGTTTGATTGAATAGAACAATAAATGCAGGACTGAGTGTATTTTTTCTCTTTTTTCTCATCTACTAGAAAAATATAGATAATAGAGCTCATTTATTTCCTTAACATTTCAGAGCTCCGCAGATGGGAAAACACAACCCAGTGGAAATGATTTCTGGCAACCTTGAGAAGATTTGTTAGCATTTTGTGGCATTTCTCTCAGTGACATGTAAAGCATGGCTTTTCCTCATTGCAGTGTCACAGTGAAGTGTCACAATAAAGCCAAAATAGTGTGCCCTCGGGGAAAACTGGGAAAAGGGACCATTTTTCCATGCGCACACAAAGGGTAATATTTATTATAAAGCCTTTCATTTTAGCTCCAAATGCTGCCTGGGCTGTGGCTATTTTGCAAGGGAGACACGCACAGAATGTGAGATTTAAAGCAAATATTATGTGTAAATCTAATGCAATTTATATAAATATAAATAATATGCTAAAAGAGGAGAACACATTTATCGACATGCAGGCATGCATGTGTCTGTGTTGTGTGTCTAAATGAGAGTTTGCAATGCTACAAAGTGACAGCTCAGCCAGTGCTGGTGTAGTGCAGGGGGCACCAAGGCACAAATGAAGTGACTCAACTTTCACCTGTTTTGTTACTTCTATTACGGATATGGTCTCTGTCTCGTTCATCTACAAAACTTGTAGTATCATAAAACTTGGAGTTGAATGTTTCAAAGAATTAACCATGTGTTGTACACTACACAGCTAATTCTGTACAGTTGTTTTCTATACACTTAGTATGAAACGTAAGTAGTTTATTAGATACTAAATATGTACTTTGGATAAAAAAATCTTACATAACCAATCCATCCTACACTTGTGCAGCTATTATTGGACTCAAATATTGGACTTCACTTTTGTTACCAGATAATGCCATCTCACTGGGTCCTACACGCTCTAGGCTATGGCCATTTGATGGTGGAAGTGTTTGGAGACTGGACTCCATTACGGTTTGCAATTTGTCTTTTATTAACACAGACCAGCATCATCCTCAGATTAAATGACTGTCCTATATTTCCCTGTGTAATCACTGGCAAGATTGGGACAGGCACCTTCTTTCCATGTTCCTACATATTCTGGGTCTCCATTTTATTTAGGTTCTATTTCAACCATTTGTCAAATACAAACGGACATTATCCAAATCGGTTGTCCTCATCTGATAGCATGAAGAAAGAGTTGAAATTCTGGGATTCAGTAGAGATGGTCCAAGCATTACATCATCAATAAAGTATTCATATGATTTTGGAGAATGTTATTTGCATTTCTAAGTAAATTTGGAAGATAATATTAACCAGATAAAGTTTATAAAGAGGTTAGAGGTAATATGTGTTCAGTACCATTCATCACCTTAATCATTAAGAAAAACAAAGGAAAGAAAAGGCATTTTGATGACCCCCTAGTCCTTGTCGGTCACTCACAGCATCTCTGATCTCATCGAACAACCTTCCTTTATGCTGCAAAGCCATGTTCCCGTTTCTCTTCCTGCTTCTCTTTCTTCCCCTCCTTCTCCTTTACTCTTCCTCCTCTTACTTTTTTTTTATGATTAGTTGTCTATTTTTGTTAATTTAAAAGGCACAGTAGCACAAAGAGACAAAGGGATCTTTCACCTGCTTGTTCACCTCCCAAATGCCAACAACAGTTGGATAAGATGTAGATGCAGAAATCATATCCACACACTTCATAGAGAATGTGGCTATCTCAACTGGTGATTTAACCTAATAAACTGCAGTGTCTGCCCTTTCTTGTCTTTTGTTTAAGTGTTTGAATGTGTCATACATTCAGCATCCTCAATGACTGCAGGCGCAGTGTTTTTCTGTAGGTCTTTAGGATTTGGCCATCTTGCTTTGATGGAAACGTTAAGCTTGTTGATGAGTAACTAAGCTTCCTCTCCCTCACCCCAAGCAAAATCTCCACATTTTGGTTTGGCCACTACAAATATTCACATAAATGGAATATATGGGATGATTGTTTTTATTGGTCTATCTTATTTTACTAAGCATAATGTCCTGAAGCTTCATTCTTATTGCTACATACTGAAATAGCCCCTTCTTATTTTTTAAGACTGAATAATGTGCCATTGTATATACACATCAGATGTTCTTTATCCATTCAGCTATCCATGGCAATTTATGTTATTTTCATATTTTGACTACTGTAAATAGTGTTGCCATGAAAATAGTTTAGAATTTCCTAAAATATAGAACTACCAGTGAGCAAACAAGCATTCTATTTCTGGTTTCTTACATAGAACACTTTAAATCAGAGATCTGACAAATTTTCAATCATATACACTTGGCTAGCCTCTTTCTCAATATGAGTGATGTGTTTAATTCATTCTGATGTTTAAGATTCATGTTTTTTTTTCCTTCTTTGGTTTCTCAATAGCCTAATAGCTGTCCTGTTCCATACAGGTTCTGGATTTGTGATTGTGGTTTAGTGATCTTAACTAATGTATTTTCTGAGCATACTTTTGGTGGAAAGTCACTTGATCAAGAAGACTATTTAAGGGAACTTGTTGAGAGCTCTCATCACAAATATGGGAACTTTATACCCACTGGGAAATTCTTCACTCTGCCTTTCAGAAGCTGGTCCTCCTGAAAGGCTGGTGGAAGTGTCCTTGTGCTTCTTAGGCACATGCTAATCACATCACCACTGTGGGATGCAGATCTGCGTTTTTCTTGACAAGCCATCAGACTTAGCCTTCTCGGGTCTTTACTCATAGTCTTCTTAGAAGACTGGTTTTGGTTGTTATTGTCATTGGGTTTTATTTTATTTTACTCCATCTTCTCTACATAAGGACTTTAAATTAGTTTCAGGGCCTGGAATAATGGCTCAGTGGCTAAATCGTGCCTTGCGTGTGCTGGGATCCCATAGAGGTGCCAGTTCATGTCCCAGTTGCTCCACTTCCCATCTAGCTCCCTGCTTGTGGCCTTGGAAAGTGGTGGAGAATGGCTCTAAGCTGTGGGACCCTGCACCTTCCTGGGAGTCCTGGGAGAAGCGCCTGGCTCCTGGCTTCAGAATGGCTCCAGCTGTTGTGGCCACTTGTGGAGTGAAGCAGCAAACAGAAGATATTTTTCTCTGTTTCTCCTTCTCTCTGTAAATCTGCCTTTCCAATAAAAAAAAAAAAAAGAAACCAAGTCCTTAAAAATGGATTCATCAGAGATCTTTTGTGAAAGCATGTTTGTTTAAGAACTTCATTCTTTTTTATCAGGAAAATTTTCAGTTCCCTAACTCTTCAGCTTTTGGGAGGGTAGTAGTTTTCTAACTCTTGAGCTACCTCTCCTTCCAGGATCTTTTATTTTTCCTATAAGGAGGAGCACTTTCTCCACTTGGCATTGATCTATATTTCAGAATCCACATGTGACAGAAACCCAGTAACTTTTATGAACAAGTCACCATCATTACACTGCTGTTTATTACACTGCTGTTTTAAAGCAACAATTTAAAATATTTGTCTGCTTAGTGATATTACTGTGAATTATATCACCTTTTAGAGATGGAGAAAGCCATATCTTGTTATTATGAGTTTAGAATTCTTTCCAATAAAACTTTAACATTTTTTTCTTCAAAAAACATTTAATATATATCTCATACAGACTCCCTGTAGGCTAAGCCCTCTGGTCTTCACGGGTCTTGCCAAGAGAATGTTTCTTAACTTTACCCACACAGCGATCTGCATTAATTCTGAGTGAGCTCTTTGCAGGAAATCTATTTGAAAAAGCTACCCTCAGGAGCATTTCCAAATAAAACCATGTGAGAACAGGAATAAGGATAAACTATTGTCCATTTCTGTGAAATGCAATCTTATTTCTGTGCCTTTTATTTGTTTGTTCTCTGTGCCAAGTGGGTGAAACTCAAAAGGCAGCATGCCATGTAGCATCTTTTCGCTATTTGAATGTGTTTGGATGACTGGAGATGGGTTGATTGAGTGTTCTTAGCTTGTTCCCCCAGCTTGCTTGTCATTCCTTTCTTTCAAGTCAAAGCCCAGGACGTGTGGCATCTCAAGTTTGAGGCGCAACTGTGATAGAGATAAGCAGTTTCAGTAGCAAGCCACTATTTGGAAGCGTGAGATCTATTCATACTGGACACATTTTTTTTTGCATCTGGTGGTATATTTTCCACATTAGCTGTTTCTTAGGATTAGCAAGCCAGTGCAAATCTTGTTTCATCCTTCCCTGGGTATTTAGCATAGTGCCAGGCAAAGCACAGATTAACATATGCTTACTCAGGATTAAGGATGATTTATCATAAAGAAAAAAAAGAAAACTCTTATGATAGGCAGTAAAATAGAGTCTATGTAGTTCAATGGATTCTCTGGATGAGCTGCTTCTGTCAGTGCCAGCCACTAACCCTAAACCCCAAGTCCCATGTTGCCAAAGGTCTTGAGTTCTACCACACGAAAGTCCAGTGTGAACACTTTTTTTTTTTAACCATGTTCTCAATTTGCTTCAATCATTACAGTGTCGCATATGATTGCTCCATGGCAAAGAAGAGGAGAGCAGAGGAACAGGCTCTGGGCGTGCCAGTAAACAAAAGGAAATCCCTGCTGATGAAACCCCGACACTACAGCCCGAACTTGGACTGCAAAGAGGAAAGAGATGACAAAGCCGAGGAAGATGGCATGGTGGAAACAAGTGATCATTCCACTGCAGGTAGCATGGAGTGGCCTAAACCATCTCCATCCCCTGGTACCCAAGAACCAGTGGGAATTGTTGTAGTCTCATACTCAGTATGGTTGTAAAGGTATCCTTGAATTTCAAAGTGAAAACCTTTGTTTGAAGCAGCAAACATTTATTAAGGGCCTGATGTTTTGTTTCTGTGTCTTTGTTGTTTGTTTGTGGTTCTGGAGAGTCTATTGATAAATAACAGAATTCTGTCCTAAATCCATTTTCAAAAGCAAGAGACTGAACTAAACTATCTTTTGAAGAAAATAATGGTATCCCTAAAAGCTTAAGAACATTATGTCAGGTCAATAGAATGGATGGCTAGTTCCTGAAAGCATCCTTAGATTAAAGAACATATTTAAGCTTTAATATACTTTTCAATAATCAAGTTCTAAATAAATGTTCATCAATAACTGTAATATATATGTAACCATATATGCAGTGAAAACACTTATTTTTGCTTTATAAGCTACCTAAAGTGTTATTTGGCCATTCAAAACTAGTAATAACAGAACAGAGTAATTGTAATGGTCTGTGACTTTAATATTCTTCACTCAGTCATTTCATGTACTTGATACGCCAAGTGAAACGTAATTACTGTTTTGAAACTTTACAACTTGTTACTTGCAGTTTGGTTACTTTCGTTAGTTCCCAGTGGTCACCTGCATCTAGGAGCTGGGATTTTACTGATCATTGTCCATGAGATCAAATTTGAAGAACATAAAAAAACTCCTGATAATTTACAAAACTAAACTAAGGTATAAAATCAATTTAGGGGAAAGTGAGATTAAGTGCACACATGTTGTATTAAATACATTTTCTTCTGAATATGAGTTTAAAAAATTGAGTAGCTTAAAAATTTGAAATTTTGAAAGAGGCATTTGTTATATAAATAAAAGGCAGTGAGACTCTTGGTTATGTATATTGACTATAGATTATAGCAGTAGTGACAAGTAGTAATTGAATAGCAGATGTGTATTGATTGAACACAGATCCTGGACCTGAAGCTTCTTTTCTCCAAGTTTCCTTATTTAGGACTGTTAGGAAATTCTGTGATTAAAACACTTATATTCTGAACTGAACATGTTCTAGTAAGATCCCTGACATTTCTCTATTTCTCTTGAAGCCTCGTGAATCATCTATAAATTATAGTCATATCTGTTTATTTTGTTTCCTTGAGCTGATCAATTTTATTTGTTGCTTAATGAAATCTGCAGGTTAGAACTAGAGAAATTCCTGGAATTATTGTGGCTAGAAATAAAGCACAACTCATCCATCCAGCATTCATTGGCTGATTAGTTATCAAAATGGGCATTGTTTGGCATCAGTGTATTCTTGTGCCACGAGAACAAAGTTTCCATCTGGCTGATGATTTCCCAACTGCCATTGTACTTGTTTGATTATCATAGATGCTTAAGATTAACCACTAACATATGTAGTCAAAAAGTACTTGGTCAAGCATTTATTTATTTATAAGTACTAATGAACATCTTCAAGGGGTCTTTTTAAAAAGTTCATAGAAGATGTATATTATAAAGAAATGTGCATTTCCAATTTTTCTTTGGAAACTGTAAAATTTCTTTGCACCAAAATAAATTTATCTTTTAATTCCATTTTCTATTAACTTTTCAATTAAAATTTATTTGTATTCATTTAAAAGACTCAGTGATAGAACAGGAGAGATGGAAACAGAGACGAAAAAAGGTCTTCCATGTACTCCCCAAATGGCTACAGTGCCTGGGGCTCGAAAACCTCAGCCTGAAACTCATCTGGATGTCTCATGTGGTTGGCATAGGCCCAAGTACCTAGCCATCCATCTTCCACTGCTTTCCAACGTGCCTTAGCAGGAAGTTGGGTCATCCAGGACTTGAACTGGTGCTGATATTATATGTCAACAACACAGGTGTTTCTTAACTTGTTGTGCAACAACACCAGGCCCCTCATGAACTTTGTGAAGTACCATCACATTTTCATATTTCTATGTATCAACTATTTTTATTTGAAATATCAGAACCATTGCCAACAATGAATATACTGAAATTATTACAGCTGTGAATATTGCTTTTGAGTTCTTAGTGTATTCCAGGCACATAATTTGTCTCATGTAAACCACACAATGCCACAATGTGTGTAAGACCATGATCACGGTTTCAAAGATGTCATTGAAGACTGTAGAGATTTCATGTGAAGACAGCCCAGATTTTAGGTGATGTGAGGGAGGTAATTAATAAACAATTGGAAGGGCAGTGAAATTAGCATTTCTCAGATAACCATATGTGATGCTACAATTCTCCCCATGCTCAAACATCCTTCAGAATTCAGGAAGAGCAGTTTCTACAACTACAGATCATGAAGCCAAAGCTTCTAGAAATGAAAGATCACAGGGTTTTTGTTTTTGTTGTTGTTGAACACAGCAAAGATTCTAAGTTACCTGCCCTGAGCAACTTTCTCCCTATTTTAGAAACTATGACATGAGTGATTGCCCAAGCCCAATGCAGGGATTTTTATCTAATCTCTGGTTTAATATAGGTATCATAATGTCTTTATCTGGCCATGTGTGTATCTAATTATGTCTGGCTGGGAAGCTCAGGTGATGAGAATACATGGTGCTCATGAAAGCTAAGGTCATGAGCTTGGATACTGTAAAGGCTTTTATTGCGTTTTGTGGCACAAAATATGCCGCACACACTCTTGTAGTTGTTTTCAAAGGGATGAATATGAACAACACAATGCACACATCTTCACTGGGTAGATGATCCAGTGAAGATGGGGAGGTGAGAACCCCTTGAAGTGGGTGTAATCCAGCCAGGGTGTGAAACATTAGTAACACAACCACAGAACCACAGACATGTGACTTGAACATCTGTGACTGTCACAGGTATAAATGTTGTAGGGGCAAGGGCTACACTTTCAACACATATTACATCTCAATAAACAGCAAATAAAGGGTAGGCCACTATGTTCTGGACTCTGAAAGAGGAATTTATGTTTCTACCACTTTTATTTCTATTGAAGCTTACATATTCAAGGGGCCTAGCAAACCAATTTGCCTATAAAAGTAAACGACTAGTTACAGAAACACAAATGAAACCCAGGTATAATAAAGTCAGCTTACACTAAGGAGTCAAATTGCATTGTGATTTGGGGTCATTTTTGAAAGCTATTTTGTCTCAGAATAACTGACATAAATGCACAAATTCATTAACATGTACCTATATGGTTAACAACAGGGCAAAATGGATAAAAATATTGGCCTCTATCTATCAGAGAACAGCATTTATGTTTTCTTTTACTATCCATACAGGGAAAGCATCCTAGTTCCAGGACCTCTCTGGTCCCTCTCCAACTGTAAAATGCACACAGGGAGAAGGACCTGACCAGTGACCTGTGTGTGGTCTGACTAAAGCTAACTGGTTATATTTCCCAGGAGTTAACCCTAGGAATTTTCTATCTTACTATCATTGCAGTGTTCAGATTGTTGACTTGTTAATTTTTGTATTGTTGTGTTGTTTATTTCTTTTTATGTATGTTTGTTAGGAGCCATGATTTTGGTTGTTGTATGTGGGTGTCTCCTTATAAATTTGCTCTGAAAATGTGCAAACGTGGGAAATGAGAAGGCTGTTAGGATTCTCCACAGTTTCTCTTAAGGATTGGTGAAGCCATACTGTTAGGTCTAGAATCTGGTAGTAGCACATTGCGGGGGAAAGATAGCAGAACAGGAGCCATGAGGCCCGAGTTCAGTTCTCAGACCTCTATTGTGTAGCAGTGTCATCAGCCTTGAGAACTGTTGTTCCCCTTCTGTAGAATGCAAGATAAAGAACTTCTCTATGACTACTGTGAAGATCAAATGGAATAAAGAACAACGTGAGAGCATATCAGTGCATTGCTTTGGGAAGGATGCTGGAGTCATCCACCCACTTGGTTGTTTAATCTCTGTATTATGTAGCTGAGAACTTAGGTCTAAGAGGACCAAGGGCATACTCAAGGTCACACAAGCAGACATGGTTCGACCAACAGCAGCACCCCAGTATTCAATCTCAAGCCCCGATAGGCATTTCCTGCTTGCTAAGTGTTAGTCTCTGAATCCTGACTTTCGATGGCTGTGGGTGGGCAATGGCAGAGTGTGTGCAGATGTGGGTGTTGACTCTACCTGAGCTATATTAACCCCACGGCCCATGCTTTTCGACAGGGAACACTTTTGCTAATAACCTTACAAGAAGGGCAGATCCTCTTCATTCATGGTCAGGATCCTGGGCACTCTGTGCTCTGGTTATCTTTTAAAACAGTAGTCATAGAATGTGAAGAGAGTCTACTGCTGTGTGTTTCTGCATGGTACCATGTGCATTCACTTTGAGAATGGAGCCCCAGGCCCACACAGGCCAAGCATCCTGTCTGAGTGAACACAGAGTGGAGGCATGCATCAGAACTCAAACCCACATACTTCTAACTCAAGGGACAGGGTTCTGTTTATGATTATGGTAGCAGGGACACAAAATACATGACTAGATGACCAGGGAAAATAAAGACACACTCACATGAACTTTAAAAAGCAGGCAGCCCATTACACGGCCAGGCAAAACAAATGCCTCTCCCTAGAGCTGCAAGTTCCAAGCCAGCTCACCTTTTTTCTTGTGGCCACAGGGAAACCCAGGGTGGCATGGAGCTGTGCAAAATCAGTGTAGAAATCAGCGTGTACGGTGCACGTAGGCACCTCTGTCGGCAGGATTCCTCTTTTTCTGAAGAATAATTAATAAATATTTTCTTTTAGCATATAACAAACAGTTGAACCAAACAATTATGTAAACTGGAAATGACCCAAAATGCTAGCAGTTGGCAGCGGCACAGTGAAACGCATTGTCATGCACATGTGCATTTTTGTCACTCCCGCCTCTCTGGTGATCTGCACTTAATAGGAATATTTTAAACTATGTAGCTAAGCAACAGAGGTAATTGTTGCTTTCTAGAGCTTTTGTTAGCACTCTAACACAGCCCAAATATGCATAATTAGGTATAATGTCTATAAATCATTATTGTACACATGTGGGTAGTTAAGTGGAGTGAGAGAATAGTTCAATGAATTGAGCATATTCACTGAAAATGCTTTTTATTTGTTTTCTGTAGTTCATAATACTTTAAAATTATCATAACCCTTTACACTTTCTCTTAATAGCTAGCCGTGATATTGAGAAAAATTTCATTTGCATTTTAGACTATGTTTAATATATTATTTAAACCTTGAGTTCCTGTGATACGGCCAGGAGAGGATAGGCCTGTCTTATCCCATATTATGTGCTTGTTTATGCAGCCTCTTTTCTAGGAACTAAAATGTTAAATTTTTCAGTTTACGTTGAATAGATCCCAACAAAAGACTGCACCCTATAATCAGCATTATTTACAGGGGCTAGTGTTGTGACTGAATTCTTCCCTTCGTCCAAAAATGCTTTTAGTTACTATGGCAATATTTACTTGATCCTGGCAGTCCAGTGTTGATTTAGGGAGATAATTACCAGAAAGGAAGATGATGGAGATGTATTTTTGAGTGTCCTTGTCAGAGACAATGTTTATAAAAAATTAAATGAGACAAAAAAAGGCACATTGTCTTCCTCCCAGGCCCCCTCTCCCCAGCCTGTGCACCAATGGCTGTGCCTTTCTTCCCTCCAAAGATGTTGATTAACACAGAATGTGCTTCACTTGGTGTCTCTAACAGTCTTCAAGGGACTTATTATTTTGCATTTCCTGTCCCTTGACTTCTCTCTGTCTCCACTCTCCTTTCTCTATTTCTCTCTCTCCTGCTTTCTTACTTCTTGTTAATATCTTGGTCTTAGTGTGTGTCCCAGGGCCCTGGCTGGAATGCTGAGTGTGTTTCATAGCCCACTGTATGTTGGGCACTGCATGAGTCTGAATCAGGGTGTCAGTAGTCTGCACTCTGTTGATTTGCACTGAAACAAGCATGGTTGGGCTGACCACACATCTAGAGAGCCTGTGACACTCAAGGCCATTCCTGAGACTGAGGAGAGAGAGCCCTGGGATGACAGCCAGCCCTTGGGACATTGTGGATAGACTGGCATTTAACGCCTCATCTCAGGGTGCCTTGTTGTTCAAAACCCAAGATGGCCCAGTTTTGAAAACAACCCATTCAGGTTCAGCATCCTCCAGCCATCGCACTTCTTGTCTCATCTGCTTTTTACAGAAATGCATGCAAGTATGAGACCAGAATACATGCTACTGTTTAGGATATTACTTGATCATGTTAATTTTCTGCTCTGTGTTATTTCTGAATGTTGAATTTCAGTTTGACTATTAAACAAGTAAACAGGAAGTCTTGAAAGCTTCAGAATTCTAGTAGTTATCATCTCCCTGTAAATGCATTTCATGTCAGTCAACATTTCATACAGTTTCTGTTATACTAGCAGAAATCTAATGAATAATTGAATTTCAAAACATATAATATTATGTATATTTGACATCCTTCTGATTGGCTCAGATTTGGAAATATCTGAGGTGCAATAACAAGGACTTCACATTCAGCATCCACACTCCATTACTGTTAAGTATTTATTTCGTGTTTTGCTCAGATCTCTGGAAGTGATTAGCTGTCAATTGTATTCAAATTATCACTGCTCATTGAAAAAAACTCAGAAGATTGAACCTTAAGTTCTGTTTCATTTTAAGAAGATGTATATATTTTCTCATTAATGTTTGTAAAACAGGGCTCAACATTACACATGTTATCTGGACATATGTATTTATATGTACATGTTAGCATGTATGTATGTGAATATGTGTTACAGTGCTTCAGGAACTATGGAAAATGAAATTTAAAAATGAGTTTATTTTGTGAAAAAAAAAACAATTTAAACCCATGTGTATGAGAGGTTTTCAAAAACGTTGGCAGAAAATGCACTCTATGAAAATACTTATTGTGGATTACAAATCTTTTCACACTAAAACAAAACATCTCTTTCAATTCTAATTTTTTCATGAACTTCTTGAAGTACCCTCACATTTATACATACATATACATGGAAATATGTGTGTGTGTGTGTGTGTGTGTGTGTAAAATCTTGGTGGATTTCCTCAAAATATTTTTTGCTTCTACTTTTCCAATACTGGTTTTCTTTTTCCATAGAGGATATCGAGGTAAAACCTGTGGATGAGAAACTTCATTCAGCAGCTCAAGAAAACTGCCATAGGAAGGAAGAAAGATATGCTTGTTACCAAGAAATCATGGTCAAATCCTTAATGCACTTGGGGAAGTTTGAAAAGAACATGTCTGTCCAGAATGTAAGTGAAAGCTTAAATGACAGTGGCATCCAGTCTTTAAAAACAGAAAGCGACGAAGCGGATGAGTGCTTTCTTGTTCATTCTGATGATGGAAGAGAGAAAATTGAGGACTCCCAGCCACTGTTCTGCTCCTCTGATGACAGCGAGAGTAACTCGGAGAGTGCCGAGAACGGGTGGGACAGCGGCTCCAACTTCTCAGAGGAAACCAAACCACGCAGAGGTCCAAAGTACATGTTAGCAGATAATAAGAAAGATCTATCAGAAGCTCCTGAAATAAAAAGTGAAGATGACAGATTTCTCCCTTGTGAGAACAAGTGTGATGTTGATGCAGAAAGGAGAGACCCACAGAATGCACACAGGGAGCCCTCGGAAGCCAAAGCCCAGGCATCCTTCCCTGAACCTGAGGAGCGGGACTGTGAGAGCCTGGCAGCCTTGACTGCAGAGCCCGGGGATCTGGACAGAGCCAAGGGAAACTTGAGTCTGTTGGAGCAGGCAATTGCTCTGCAAGCGGAGCGAGGCTGCGTTTTCCATAGCACCTATAAAGAGCTGGACAGGTTCCTCCTGGGGCACTTACCAGGGGAGAGGAGGCAAACCAAAGTCATTGACACGGGTGGAAGACAAATCTTTAACAATAAACGTAAGACACATTTTTGCATTTGCTTTTGGGGTTTTCAAAATCAAAATCAAAAAAAGATACTTTCGATGATTCCTTTCAGATATCTTTTGACAACTGAATGCAGTTTAAAAAATTAATTAATAAACAGTTACTCCCCCCCCACCAATGTCTTCACATTGGAGAGAAAGTTCATTCCATGTATTTTTTTTCATTGAAGTATTTCTTAAAAACTGTTATCCCAGTAAATGTACTTTACTAGATATTCTTAGAAATACATTGGTACTATATTTCAGTTGTCTTAAGAACCATAACTTGCACAATTTAGTATCTCCAAAATTAGAAAGGGTTGCAATAGTTAATTTGTAATAGTTTTTCTTTCTGAATAGCACATATAATAATGTCCATCCTACAGCTGATGATGTCATAGCCAATGAGATCCAATAGTTGAGAAACTGTATTTGAATCCTAGTTCATGATATTTGATGACCTTTTGGCATTTTTAGAGCACATTGGAAGCCTTTTGTTGTTGTTTTCAGAGGTTGCCAAGGCAATAGAATCCGTGTAAGGGTATGGTCACACTGGAGACTTAGGGAGCTCCTCATAGGATGGGTCGAGTGAATAGAAGTCTAACCACTGTGTGGGGCAAGAGTCTGTCCTGGGGAATTAAAAGCCTCTGGGAGGAGATCAAACTCAGGCTGGTATGAAAAAGGTAAAGAAGGTACCCTCTTCACTGCAAAGGAGTTACAGGGCTTAGTCTAGACTAAGGATACCACTGGGGTCCAAATTAAGGATTCCCTTTCCTGTTCCTTATTGCTGATATGGGAGCCAGTGGAACAATAGGATTTTTTTTTCCTCTACTGTACATCCCATGCTTGTAAGTGAACACTCAGTACAGCTGGCCGCCATCTTCCCCAGCTATCCTGAGGCCCTGCGCACCTAACACGTGCAACTCCGCTATTCAGAAGAGAAAACTGGGATTGTAAGATTCCATTTTACTGAAGCCTTTTAATGAGTTGTCAGTTGTCAAATGTTTGGCTACACTGCTGCTACTTAGAATTTAGTGAGACTTCAGGTGCTAAGTCACCATGTAATTTATTGTATAACTATAGTAGTAAATGGATGACAGCGCAATCACATGAGTCCATAAGTTTACTATGATCTGAGGGTTAACTTACTGCAATTTCAGTTATCCATAATCAAATACAATCCAGAATATTAGGTGGAAAAATCCAGAAGTAAACGATTTTTAAGCAACTTTCAGACAGTACATTTTAGTAGTTAGTTCATGCTATTATGAGTTTCTGCTGCTAACCTCTTCATGTGCCTAATTTAGAAATTAAACCTTATTATGATAAAGTTTATATGTGTAGGAAAATGCATAGTTTTTGCACATAAGGTGTCTTCAACAGTTCATGAAAATACATATTATGACATCTTTCTGCCCAAAAGTGGATTATCTTTTCCATTTTTTCATGAACATTTTGAATTACTCTATTTTATATAGAGTTTGGTACAATCTAGTGTTTTAAGCCTCCGCGGGGGTATTGTGGCCTATTTCTCACTGTCTATCACCTGTGAGTGAGGATAGTCCTCGCCAGGCCAGGATGTGGCATCACCAGTCTGAGGTCACACCCGTTGGCAGGCTTCGGAGTGACTTCCAGAACCCACAGCTCTGGCTTCTTATCATGCAAACAGGTTTTGGCTTCCAGAGTGTTTCCTCCGCATCTTTATTTGGCCCAGTTGAGGAGAGACTAGCAGACAAAGGTGCATGATCAGTGGGCCCCACCTGGGCAGTTGCCAGCCTGCGTTATCTACAACACGCTCTCTGGCTTCCTATACACAAACAGCATGGCGAGGAAGAGAAACACACGCGCCAACCCTTTCAATGCGGTTTAGAAATGTGGCCTCCACTGGACGAGAGCCAAGGGGGAAGGGCATCAACATGCATGCGCTGCTTTTGTTCTCCCCACCACACACTCCCATGGGGTCGGCCCTCCCCAGTTCACTGTGATCAAACTTTGAGGATTTTGACTGTGATCCACAAATTTTGCAGGCCCATATCCACCCAAAATTTGGCACAACTGTGGAAATAGAGATCCACAAACTTGCAGAATGTCACAGACTGTTCATAGATCCCTCCTAGTCTTATAAAATACAGAGCAAGTATCAACACCATCACACTGAAGTCCTGCCACCCACTAACAAATGCTTGCCACTGGAAACATCCCTACCTCTGCCTGTGCCTTGTTCTCCCACAACTCCACAGCTGTTGTTCTCCTAACCCTGACAGGCTTGAAAAATCCTTGGCCCCACCCCCTTTATTGATACTATGCCCCGTATAATTGCATTACATGACACCTGCTGTGCCCCATCTGCCCAGACCATTTCCAGTGCCACAACTGGGGTGCCATGGGCATGCCTGCTCTCACAGTATACTGTGCAGGAGGTGGTTATCACCTCTGCTCTGGGTGTTGGGCACCAAACAGAAACAAGATGGGCTAGGCAGAGCCCTTCTTGGAATTCTACCTCCCAGCAGGTTGTTGGGCAGAACCATATGGATATTACTTCTTTTTCTTTCTAGCATCCAGGTTGCTGGTTATTCTGAATGTCCCCTGCTCTGAGAATCCCAGTAAGTCTTCCTTTACTTACACGGGGCTGCCTCGGCTCCACTCCCAGAAGGCCGAGAGACAGACTTTCTCTAGTTCAGAGTGTCCTCGTGAGCAGGAGTCATGGGACAGTTTTGGCCATGAGAATTTATTTTAGGTTTGTTCATCATCTCATTCACAAACATTCCTGAATAAGGTTTCATTTGCATGAGTTCTGTCTCAATTTTCCAGTTTAGTCTTCACTTCAGTTATATATTTATGTAAGTCTTTCTCTAAGTCATGGGAATGCATATCCTGAAAAAAACTACCTCGTGCACTAAAATAAACTTATCTTTTTATTCCATTTTTCACAAACATTTTGTAAGTTCCCCACTTTCTCTAACCCTTGGTAAAAATTATACCCCTCCCCTTCTGCCCTGCTCTGTTCTCGATCTTTGGTCTCTCCCGACAACCTGACCAAGCAGGTTGCAAAGTGGCCCTTTCTGTTGTCTTCAGCACCTGTGAATTCACTCCACCTGAGCTCTAGGCCACATTCTCCGGAGCCCTGGGAAGACAACTTCTCATCCCTGTGCTTCCATTTCCAGCAACTCTGTCCTTCCCACATATCATCATCTTGTTGTCTCAGCTTTCACTTTCTATATAAAGTAGAATCAGCAGCTTATGCCCGTAGCCATTGCAGCTTGCCCCTAAGTGGTAACTGTGGGTTTTGGAGTTGTGATTCTCTTTAGCCCTTCTGGTAGGAACCGCATCCAGAATCTCTGGGCCTCACTCCTGTCTGCTGCTGTACAGAAACAGGCTATGTGATGAGTGGCTGGCTGATCCATCCTCAACCCAGGGGCCATCTGCTGCCAAGGATGCTCAGTGACAAGGCCAGAGTGGCACTTTTCAGATATGGTAGCTTCCTTGCTTTGTCAATTTTGAATCTTGCTTTTTCTTGATTCTTTGAATAGAAGATGGCTTGAGTTTAAATCAATTCTTTCTTCTTCCTCACTCTTTTTATTTCTTTTCAGGGCAGAGGGTTGACTTTTCATAATGAGGTTGTAACTAAAATATATGACACAACAACAAAAAAATCATTTCTGCATTTTAACACTCTTGCCCTATGTCAGCCTTTGCTTAGAAAACCAAGAAAATTGAAAACATGTTTTATGTCTGCACAGCTCTAGCTGAGGGTCTTATTCAAGGCAATGTGTGAAGAATGTTGAGGATGGCAAACCTGAATAAAGTGTAAATGTCACTCTGCAAGGCCACACTGTTGAATGGGAAGGCAGAGAATAACCACATGAGTTCTTTAATTTCATTTTTTGTAGATTCGCCAAGGCCTGAAAAAAGAGAGACCAAGTGCCCCATCCCTGGGTGTGACGGCACAGGACACGTGACAGGGCTCTACCCCCACCACCGCAGTCTTTCGGGGTGCCCTCACAAAGTCAGGGTTCCCCTGGAAAGTAAGTATTTCTTGCTCTCTGGAGAAGGTGTATGCTACAACTTCACAATGTCCCTTTTTTGTCTTCAAATTTAGAACTTGGATTGGAAGCATGAAGCTTTCTCTCAGGATAATCTCCATTCAATCATGTGTTTTGAAGCATAACATATTTCTAGAACATTTGAGGTATGACAGGAACAATGCATCAGGAAATGATGCCCATAAAGAAAACAGCATATAACTCACTATATCCAGGAGGAAAGAGAATGCCATGCCATGGACAGGGCATTAGCCTCGATGCAGCATGGTGACGTTACTGATGTTGCTCTGCTGCCCTCACAGGTGTTCTTAGTGTTATACCTTCTACCCTGCTACACCTGAGTGTGCTGAGTAAGAGCAGGCCTTCTTTTGTGTCTCCCCCACAGCACTCTGCGAGCTGCCACACCTGTACAGTGCAAATGCGCTACATCTCTACTTGTTGGACCTATTGACTGAGACATCTCTTGGGTCCTATAGGCCACCAAAGTGGGGATTCCCCAGCATTACCTTTCTCTAGAAGACTTTCCGAGTCACCAATTCTCTCTGGGTCATGCTAATGCTGCCAGACTTTCACCTTGCTTTACCCATTGTGCCCTCACCTCTATGCTTCCCCTTGACCCTTATCCATTTACTGGTCACCAAATACCAGTGGGGAGAAAGGACAGCAAAGAAAACGATGTATCACTTAGGAGAGAAAGAAGGTGGTGTGCAGGATTTCAGAGTATGCGAAAAGATGGAAATAATATTTGACAGATAATGTCTTTATCCTCTCCACTAAGGAAAAGCTCTAAAAATGAAAAGAAGATTATGAGCCATTCGGCTTAAATAAAAATGAGCAGAATAGTCTTCTTTAGGCTTACTCTGAAGCATACATGCTAGAGAAATTAAAACTTGAAGAAGCCCATTGGATTTAACTGCTGAAGTTCTTAAGTGCCCGTTTGTGTCTTCTGGATGTGAATGCAGTTCAAAATGTTCACTTATCAAATTGAATGCAAAAAAAGTTTGTTTTGGTGCAGAAAAATTTTGACATCTATGTGTAGTTTTCTCATAATACATGTTCTTGAGAATTTTTTGAAGAACTCATCTACATGAATTTCAAAAATGTTTACACCACTATAAGGTTAAAGTTGAATTTCACTTAATAAGTGAACTTTAAAATATGTGAGTGTGTATATGTGTATATATGTATATATATATATATATATGCATATATGTAGGAAGCCTGCTGTGACAAATGTCATTTGGATATGAAATTAAGAAATCAGTTTCTTAGTATACTATGTACTTATGGCAAATTTTTCTTTCCTTTTTTGTGATAATCTCTACTTAGTTCTGGCCATGCATGAAAATGTGCTCAAGTGCCCCACTCCAGGATGCACAGGAAGGGGGCATGTAAACAGCAACCGCAACACCCATAGGAGGTAATGCCCATTGGATGCTGACTGCTCCGCCAAAAAAGAAAAAGGTGGGAGGGGGGAGGACTGTCACCGATCAAATAACCAACTGAGATTGTGCTGCCAAAGCCATGCATCACTGTCAGTTACGTTACCATGTAGAGAGAATAATACAGCACATTCTCAATGTATGAAGAAAAAAGAAGAGGATCCCTTCAGTATTTCCTTTCCTGAGCCTTTTTATGTTAGGAGCCAATTAGGGTAACCAAAGGTATCTTATGGTGCTGGGCTGGATTGTCTATCCATATAGACGGACAGAGTGCCCTCTTTTCTCTCTGGAACCTCACCGTTGCAGTTTTGACACTGAGAACAGTTGTTCAAGAGTTTTCATTTATGCCATCCATCCCACCCAGAGGGGCCTCAAAATACAGTGATTCTGATTGTAAACCAAGAGGAGTGTGTACACTATGTGAGATTACAACTGACATAAAACATATGTGTGCTTATATATATATATAAATCTGTGTGCATATATTTTATGAAAATGCTATTTTACATGTGCATTTTACCCTACTTAGATTATGATGTATATTCATTTTACCAGAAAATTGGTTAGTCCATCCTTCCAATTTAAGCATGGGTATGAAATTCAGATCCTAAAATTTGAGTAACAATATGAAGATCAAGTATCCATGGAGTCACTATGTTAAATTTTGTTGTTTGACACACTGCAGTTAAAAGTATCCTGTTGTATCTAAATTATGATGATGTTTTCTCCTTTAGTTATTGTCCCATGATAGTGTTTTGACTGCAGAAATGGGTTTCTTACATTTTGCCTCTGAGATGAGGACAGGAAGCAAGTGTTGATATTGTAGTTCGCAAGACCCTTTGGGATCTGTTAGTTTGAGAACAGTGCTAAGTGAACTATTAATATGACTTAACATTTAGTGTGTGCCAAGTGTGCTGTGAGGCACATGCCAAATTAAATTTCCATTTCAACTCAGATCCTCCTGCTTCTCTTTTTTGAAACAGTCTCTCTGGTTGCCCAATTGCTGCAGCTGAAAAATTGGCAATGTCCCAGGATAAAAGTCACCTTGATTCTTCCCAGACCGGGCAGTGTCCTGACCAGGCCCACAGGTACGTAACTCCCACCAAGCTCCTGATACACTGTTTATGTCACACTCCTGCCCGGGTGGACCTCTTGTCCCTCATCTGTCACTCCACTGTGACCTGCTTTTTATTCTCAGCTGCCAGCAGACCTGCATGGGCCGCCAGTTGGAAAGGAAAGTCTACTATCATTGCTTAAATGAACTACTAGAGCCACCAAAAGTTTCATTCAAAACTCATCCTTTGTCAAAGTAGCATACAGCAGGCCAATCTCAAAGAAATAAAGCACATGATGACATGTATTGATCAAAATGTCAATTCACTCTTGTGTAACATAGCTACTGAGTCAGGGAGAACTTCCCTTTCTGATTAAAGTCAGCTTTCTTCAGCTCCCCTCAAAATATGTGATACTAAGTATTCATCCCGCAGAACCATATATATACATGATTTCTTACAAACAAAAATTCTTGCAATGCATAAAATATCCTCCTTTTGTCCCACTCCAATTGGTCCTTTTACTAGTCCCAAGTTTTTGAATACTGTTAGATGTGTGATTATGCTTGTTTTTAAGTTATAAGATCATTACTATAAAAACTATATGTGTGTGTGCATGTATTTAAAAAATTACTTTAGGAATAAGATAACCAGATAACTGTTTTTTCCTAGTCACTGAAAGGCAAAAACAGCAATTAGGTGTTTCATTATATTCAGGATATGACTTCCCTTAATATTTTTGCTTCCAAATATTTAATTAAGAGCTAAAATTGGCATTCAAAGTATGAGAGAAAACATGTCACTGAGCAATGTGAATTAATGAATCTGTAACAATTTTAAAAATCTTAAAATAGAATCCTTGGTTAATGTTCCTTTTCTTTAGGCTTTTGCTAAGTAGACTTATTTATCAAATATAAAAACAACGTCATTTGATTTTATGCATTTCCTTAAATTAGTATTGTTTTAGGACACTTGTATAATTTTAAAGTTATAAACCAAATTATGTATGGCAACATCAGCTAGTCACTCAAAAAATATTTTATTTATATGAAAGAGTTACAGAGAGAGGGCTACACACACACACACACACACACACACACACACACACACACACACACACACACATACACCTTCCATTTGTTGGTCACTCTTGAAAAGGTCTCAGTGGCCAGGACTGGGTTGAGCTGAAACCCAGGTGAATGGAACTCAGGTTGTGGGTAGCAGAGGCCCAACTACTGGGCCATTTTCCAATGCTTTCCTAGGTACATTGGCAGGAATCTGGAATGGAAGCTGATGAGCTGGGACTTGAATCAATGATCACATGAGAAGCCAGGGTCTCAGACACTGGACCAACTCATTGTGCCACAAGGTTGACCCACTCAAATGTTTTTATATAGCAACCCAAAATAAAATGCTTTACCTAATTCAGAAAGAATAATTGAAACATGATATTCTAATGAATCAGATGTGTTTTGCTGGGAAATAAAGGAAAAGGTATTTCTGATATTTATTCTGAAAGATGACATTTTCTATTCTTTTGCTGTTAGACTACAACAGATAGCCATTTATCTTTTCTTTTGCTGAATTTAATGTTGCACAGTTATGTTACTCTTGTTTAAGCAAAATATAACTCTAAAGGAGTATGGGAGCTGGGTTGGGAAAGCTACACTGAAAAAATTGGAGAATACATTAAGTAGTAATGTAGTGATTTTGATTTATATTGAAACAATGGCAATTTAATAAATGAACTGTTTAAATACTATTTAAAATATTACTTAAATTAGAAAATCCAGTTATACTGAAAATGGAGGGAAATGGTAAGAAACTGGAGACACTCACAATTCCAGAATCACAGTTGTGATGTCTGCACTGCTCCTCGTGGGTGTCAAGCTTCTGCTAGCCCTCCAGAATACAACAGAGCGCAGTGCCACTTCTGAGAAGGAGAGAAACAGCACGTTTCTTCCCCAGTCACTGTCATGAGTATTTGCAGAAATCTGATGAGCAGTTCTAACATGCAGAATGTGCATACCTTGTCGGTGCCTTACCCAGTACATCTGATAGTTCTATGACACTTTTCTCTAAGGTGCTGAAAGTGCTAACAAATAGCAGATGCTTGTTCCTCATGACTTTCTGTTTTACCAGTGGTGCACTGGGGTGCAGAACACACAGCAGTGGTGCAAGTATGCATAGCCCGCAGCGTTTCCTCTCATTCCTGCTCTGGGACCCTCTGCTATTACACTGTAACCATGTCTCTGTGATTATTCAGACAGTGAAGTACCTGTCCACTGTCAATGTTGACACTAACATGCTCACTAATAATTTCACTGCACTTCTTTTGAACTGCTACCTCTTTGTGTCTAGGACAAGCTTGGTGAAGCAAATTGAATTCAATTTCCGATCACAAGCCATCACCTCTCCCAGAGCCACAGTGTCAAAAGAGCAGGAGAAGTTCGGAAAAATCCCATTTGATTATGCCAGTTTTGATGCACAAGTTTTTGGTAAACGACCACTCATCTCAACAGGGCAAGGATGCAAAACACCGCCATTTTCTGAATGTAAGTGTTGAGTCCTAACCTTTCCTTTCTGTAAGTTGTATCTTACATATGTGTGTGTATGTGTGGGGAGGTGTTGGTAGGAAGGATGTCATAAAATACAAAATACTTCAAAAAGTTCATGGAAATGCATATTATAAAAATATTATTCATGACTTTGTCCACCAAATTAACTTGTCTTTTAATTGCGTTCTGCAGGAACTTTTTGAAGCTTTCTCATATATGGTATCCTACATAAAGCCAACAGGAGGGAAAATATATTATACAGTGAAATGAAGTAAAGAAAATAATAGTACGGTGATCAGTGTTACTAAAGTGATATAAAAGTTTTATAAAAATTTACATGAAGTTATATAGTTTTATATTAATGGTGGAATAGTTTATGGGTAAAATGGTGAATAGTTCATGGGTAAAACATGAATAGTTCATGTCATATGATGCTATTATTGAATCTAAATATAATAATTATAAACAAATATTTAACTCACATTTAGCTGGAAATGGGTTTAATGAAAATGTGTAGCTATTGTAATATAATACTTTTGATTACTATTGAAATTATGAAAATCTAAAATACACAATGTTGAAATATTATTTAAAAGATTTAAATCAGCAAAAGCGCTCAGATTGAAGGTTGGAAGGAAAGTCTAAGAGGAAACTCACAATTCAGGAATTAAGACTATTTTAGCGAAAAATGTGGTGGTTGAGATGCATAATCACAAATTTAGGAATTAACAGAAACTTCTTAATGCTGACATAGCCAGATGAAGAACATAATTCAGATAACCTAATATATAAAACTGAGTGTTTCTACATTTCTTATAAAGTAGCTTACACATTTCTTTATGTTTCTATGTTTTAAAATATTCTGATGAAAAGGGGGAAAAGGAATCATTAGGAACAAGCACAGGAAGTGTTTCCTACATTACAGGGACTTAACATCCCCTAAGGAAAAAACAAGTCCTTTGTATACTGATTTTTTGCCTCATTCTCCGAGTTCATGGAATCTCGGGGATCTCATACCAGGCTCCCCAGAACACAGCATGCTTGCTGCAGGGTGACCAGCACTTTCAGAGCAGTAGTTAGCTGTGTAAAACCCAGCAGTGGATCAACTGACTTGTTTATCTTTGAGAAGTATGCTCCACTTCAAAGACATTCTTGCCAAAATAGTCCCAGCTAACATAAATAACCACTTACAAACTACTAGATTTGAGAAAAATATGTATACACAGACTTTAGATATAATATTTTATACACACAACACATACTGTTTAATAAAGTGACGTTTAAAAATATTCTGTACACTCAGAGTGGGGATAATGATTTTAAAAATCCACAAAACATTCAGTGACATTTTCAACTCCTTGTAATTGTTGGGACAATATTTAGCAATATTCTAAATTTTTGTCTTATAAAAGATAACAATGAAGTTGTTTCAAATAAGCAATCTGTAATCAAAACAAATAGCTAAATGTTGTGCTCTGAGCCCACATTATATCTTGAGTGTTTCTCCCATAACTTTGAGTGATGTCTACAGATAGCCCACAGTGAGGAGAAATCTGGTTAATTCTCTCTGCAATGCATTGTTACCCACAACAGAAATGTAAAAGGCAAGCTCAGCCTTGGTACCTAAGTTGCCTTTCTGTTCACCTTGAGAGCTTTTTCTGCCTGTGCTTTGCTCTCTGCATCACCCCAACCACACTGAATGCCAGCTCACTGAGCACTCCACCATTTATTTAGTCCCATCTGGTTGGATGGAAACAAGAATAAGCCCAAAGCAAAGCTTTGTCTTAAATAACAAAAAATGCAAAGTAATATCTTAATCTGCAGAAAAAAAGCACTGAAAAGATATATTTTTTCCTCCACTAGAGATACTCAATTCTTAGATGTCACTGCATCTGTAGTCCCTTTCCAGGGTTTTCTGATGTTCATTAAATCCACATTTTTTTCCACACATGTTGCCAGTGCACCTGCCCCATAGTATTGGTTATATCATTCTTGATATATGAAGGGTAAATACAAAAAATATTAAGAGAATAAGCCCAGCATTCACATTGTCTGACGTGTAGTCTCTGTGGAAACCTTTCTGAATGATCTTAAGGTACTAACATAATGGAGTATGCAGTATTCCTCACACATTTTAATGTAAGAAGTTCTATCTTTAACAGACAAATCTGTTTGATAACTAAAACTGCTTACGTGCAATTGCTAATCAAGTCTCTCTTCAACAGCAAAGCATTTTTCAAATCCAGTGAAATTTCCTAATCGACTGCCTAGTACAGGCGCCCACACACAGAGCCCGAGCCGTGCCAGCTCTTATAGCTACGGTCAATGTAGTGAAGACACCCACATAGCAGCAGCTGCTGCCATCCTGAACCTTTCCACCCGCTGCAGGGAAGCTGCAGACATCCTCTCCAACAAACCACACAGCCTGCATGCCAAGGTAGGCCACTCCAACAGCCCCGAGGGTGGGCCAGCGACTGAACCGTGAGAATAAACTGCCTTTCATGTTCCTAACTACATTCACTGTCACTCCATTCCCTGCCCCTGGAACACGGCTGGCCCTCCCTGTCTTAGGGAGGGGAGTCAGGATAGGGACGAGTGATGGGTCCAGAACCGAATAAGCAAGGCTAGGTCTCATCTGGGGACTCTTATTGAAGGTGGCACACCAAAGCTTGGAGGCGACTTGTGTTAGAGGGACCAGTCAGAGAGAATTTACAAATTTCAAAGGTGTTTTTGTTCTGGGAGTCTGGCACATGAGCAAAAGGGGAGTGGTGCTGCTAAAACATACGAGCTGAAGAAACTTTGCTGCCCGCAAACTGAAGATAATTAGACAGGTTTGGTGACACCAAATTGGTGGAACACTGGCAAGATTGATCCTTGGAATGTAGACAAGATGTGTGACTTAAGGTCGTCTCAGTCATTGTGATGGTCCAGGAAGGTCTGAAAGCTTGGGGCATTCAATCTTGTGACATTTTCTCCGAAGCCCAGAGAATGAATTTTGTTACTTTAAGAACCTCTCCCAGCCACATAACAATGAGACGTACACATCCCACATTTATAGTAGGCAACCAGATGGAAACAAAAACCAGACATCCTCCATGCTTTGCCTTTTCCAGCTAGTGCCTTACCATGTGAGAATTATAGAAATCCACAGCAGACACGGTGAGAAGTACCTAGGCACTTGTGCCCACAGTCAGCTGGGCCAGTAACTTCGAATCTCCCTGAACCCAGCTGACATAATTTGTCCATTCTTCTCTGAGACAAGATTTTCTCCTTGTTTCAAAAGGGGAGAGTCCTCATGTTAGACTCTGGCCCTGGAACTCAGCGATTAGGATCGGTACTCTTTTCGCATTGTAAGTACAACCCACGCTGGCGTGGTCAGCTGCCTGCCTGGGCCGTGCCAGGCCTTCAGGAGAACAGGTAGCAGTGCCACTGTGCATTTGACAGAAGAAGCAGAATCAGCTTCTGGACTAAACAGAGCCAAGTAAGCCGCAGGAAGAGCTGGTAGCCAAAAACCACTCAAAAACAATTTTTAATCAAATGAGGTGCTTCAACAAAGAAAAACGTATCCTCTGCAGATATAATAAAATATCAAGTGATCGAAACTCAAAGGAATTATAGCCACAAACCATTTACACACACGAGTGCCTCGGGAAATTTTTAAATGCAGCTGTACTTATTTTAAATGTTTAAAATTTGCTATATAAATGGGAACATTTTCATGTATTTCATACACACAGTTTTCAGAAACTATCCTACCCTAACCACCCCACCCTCTCTCCTCTTACCCTTCACCTTTCTTCCTTTTTAAATTTTGTTTTCTTTTTTGCAATAAAATATTCTGTTTATATTGAAAGTTCGGTTTTTAAACCCTGAATACAATTCTCCTTTTTCAGTGGATATTCTCTCATATATTTAGCTGGGGTGCTTTGGGACTTGACTGCCTAGGCTGCTCTAGGAAAATGAAAGCACTAATATTGTAGTCATTCATTTTACTTAAATTATCATGGTGACATCTGCATTTGTAGATGTTTTTCTCCTTTTCTGAATTCTGCATTTCAAGTTCATCCTTAAAATGTCTCCATGTTCTATGAAATCACTGATGTCAAACAATGGAACAACGATGGCTAAAACAGTCAATCAACAAGGGTAGCTCAAAGAAGTTCATAGAAAATGGGATGAAAGGATGTTTATTTTGGACCCCAAAACATTAGAAGCCCAGGCATAGCTGTTTTATGATTCACATTTCCTCAAACTATTTGAAGAGTTCCTCGTGTGTTCTTCTCTTTTGAAAACATATTTGTAGCCCAGAAAGTGACTTAAATAATCAATTTCCATCATGTGTTGTCCCACACCTACTGGGAGCACTAAGTGCCCACCTGCTGTGTGGAGCAGATCAGACAAGCCAGGTGACAGGAAGCAGGTCTTGGCCACCTATGGCCAACAACCTTGCCCTTCCTATGGAAGCCAAACTAGTGTTGCAATGAAAGAAATGGGACACAAACAGCCCAGAGACTTCTAAAAGGAGTTCATGAGGTTGTTACTAAAATTATTTTCTCACCAAAATTGCTTGCCTCTCTTGACAAAGTGATTACCAACATAGGCGGCACCCCACGAGATCACTTTGTGTGAAGTACTTTGCCAGTATGTACTACTTGCACAAAACTGTACATATTTGTAGATATCTGTCCTGTTGGATTCTATGTTTTAATACAGAAGAGAAACTCATAAATTCCTATACCAAAAAAAAAAAAATACATACACTAGTAAAAAGAAAAAAAAGCCAGGTGATTAACCCCATAAAATACCCTCTGATCACCTTGCCTGCTGCAAGCCTTTTCCATTGCCAGTGCTGCACTTGCGGTATGCTTTGCATCTTCTCCTCCATACTTCCTACTTACCGTATTCTCTTTGCAATATGATTATCTTGTGTGCAACATGGCAGATTGGTAGTGTGTTCATTTCTGGTATCTCAAAGCTATCTCTCAGGTTGCTTATTTAGAATTAAGGATATAGAAAAATCCAACTTTTCTCTACCATAGACCTTTATAGCAGAGCTCCTGGATGGTGTACTCAACAGTACAACCACAAGGCCTCTAAGTGCCAGAATGTTCCAGTAACAGGACACATTTAGGCACATGCTTTGCCTTCAAGGAGTTTACAAAGCCAGGTACAGAAAGTGACCCTCTAGTCGTCATAGCTGCCTTGCATTGTTCCAAGGAGAAAGTTGGGGTCAAAGGACAGGCACTGCTGGCATTGCAGAAAGTTTAATCAGAATTTTGTTAGAGCCAGTTTCTCGTTTTCCTTTTGTTACTATCCAGTTGATTCTTTTATGCAATGAAAGTCTCTTCAGTTGCTTAACCAAGTTGGAAGTCATGCTATCGTCCGTAAGCACAGCATTTTAAAAACCAGGCTAAAGCACTCTAACCTTGATATTACCTTCATGCCTACTTGCTGGGGACTGATGCAGGTCCCAATTGACTTCATTTTACTGGGAGATTTGCAAAAATCACTGTCTTTCAGTGATTTTTAATGATCATGGGAACCAGTTGATTTTCAGACTGGCAAAGAAACTTCAACTCTTATACACATTAAAAAAAAAAACGAATGGTGACATGGATATTCCAGAATATGTTTCCCCTCTCAAAATATCTTTGCCACATAACATTAGAAGACTTTCCCCATCTACTCCTTTCCAGCACTTCAGCCTAGTCTTGTGTACACATTATTGTCCATTCATTCACCAAGCATCCATGAGGCTCCAGGTGCAAGTCCATATGGAGGATATCAGGGTGTGTCTGTCAAATCACTGCCGAAAACAGAGCCTCTTATCTCTTAAAAGATTTTAAAAGAAATTACTTTTTGTTAAAAATACAATCTGGCATGCACCTCATACACTGGCCCTGCCAGAACTGCCTGTAGGTTCTTTCAGGATCCAGTTGAGGAATCAAGTCAGGAGAAAGCAACTGGTACTCTGAATATTTAGCCATTACCAAGTGATTAGTGGTAAGTTGTCTGAACTATTAGCTTTCTCTTAGTCCTAATAGTTTTGCTGGTTCTGAAATGCACAAGAGTTCCTCAAAAGTTTGTGGCAAATGCAGCTGAGAGAAATCTATAATGTTTGTTGATGCGCATGGATTGCTTTTTTGTAGTGTTTTTCACAAACTTTTGAAGACATCAGGTCTGCCCAGATTTCAAAGAATATGATTCTGTTTGAAGCGCTCTGGTCAATTACACTCTTCATTGTAATTTAGTACTAATAGGAGTGGTCAAAAGTCAATGGGCCCTGCTTCAAGCCCCTCCCCTGTCATCAAGCCATTGTTAGTCCTGACACAAGCACAGCACACAGGGTACACATGGTCGGCGGGCAAGGATGAAACAGCCTGGCTGCCTCCCACCCCCAAAAGCTGCATGGCCAGCACTGAAACTGAGTAACCCCGGGAGCTGCACCAGTATCAGTCCAATACATTCCCCACTTTCCTTCCTTCCTCCCACCCTGTTCAGCAGAGGTAGGAACCCGCTTCTCAGTCTATCTTTATCCTCATCGCCACTGCTTGCCAAGCGTTCTGTTGTTTGTTTTGGCGTTTCCCCCACCTGTTTAGACAAAATGACATATGCACAGTGTGCCTTAAAAGAAAACAGAAATTGACACTTACTTGAAATGTTTAAAGTTCAAAGTCTGTCTTGTGCTTAAACAGGGCCCAGACACACCATGATGTTGCCTCACCATTCTTGCTGCCTGATACCAAAAGTAGCCTGTTGGCCCTAGTTAGAACCCAGAGCAGCCTTGCCAACAACTTTTTACACCAGAATGGATAGACTATATTTTGTAAGTAAAGTGTTCCCAGGGTCTGGCTCAGGGATCATAAGGAACTGACTGTGTAGGTATAGGACAACTACATACTTAACAGTTGGCTCTTCATCCATGGCTGCAGTATCCTAGGAGTATCTGCGTCAGTCTTCGGAAATCCATTCAAATGATTACCATGTTTAGGCAGCATTTGTAGAGTACCTACAACACACAAGACACTGTGAAGAAGCAACTGGCCTGCAGTAATCCTTTTTACTCTTTCTAGAAACTCTGTAAGGGAGATCATTACCATTCCAGTTTATAGGTGAAGAAAAGGACAGAGACATTAAGAACTTTTCTCTGAGCATGAAAGCTTTATCTGTTGCAACTGAAATGTGATTTCATGTCTGACTTACTCTTTTCTTGAAGATCTTATGAGTTGTCATGACTCCAAGTCACAAATAGGGAGAGTGACTATAAATGTCATGGTAGCCATTTCTCCTTTGAATTCTGTCATTTTTACTCCTATTTCACAAATCTGTCATCTTCAAACTCAGTTACCATTGAGTGAGAAATGTCCTTTTTATTTGTTTATTTATTTCCTGTATTCTTTGAAAGTGTATTTAAGCTCATTTTCATTTTAAAGCTATCCTCTCCCCCTCCCACAAACAAATCCCCAAGAGACAAAAATAAAGGAACAAAAGCTGTTTGCAGTAGAAACCTGAACAGTGAGCACGGAGCATTCTACACCCTCAGTCAGGTCAACAGAAGACAACACGTGATCCCACAAACCTCGCACAAACTGGCCACATATGAAGCCTAATGCTGCCTTTTAAAATCAAGGTCTTCAAAACAAATAAGTCTTACAATGAGGACATTTAAGGCAAAATTCATAATTTTTCTCCTAGTTCATCACCATCTTTGAATGTATCATTACCTGTGATGGTTAGAACAATGTAATGTTAGCATTTTCCAGGAAATATGGAGACAAACAGCCTGTTCTCAAAATACAAGTAAAACAAATTTTGTATTGACCTGTTTGCTTTTCAGAAAATAAACTTTTCTCTAGTAAGTACAGCAGGAATACGACTGTTTCCTGTTCTCAATTTCCCGTGTCACTACACTAGCTTCATAATTACTTTACTCACTACACAATGTGCCATTTAATAAAAGTAGCATAATTCATTAATCATTTCTGTATTAGTGAACAAACAAGTTACTTCTTATTTCCTAAACAAACAAGATGACATGGAATTATCCATTACATTTTCAGTTTAAAAATAATTTACGGTGTATTTGTTAAATTATCTTTCACTGAAAAATACGCATCAAATAAGCTTTTTGAACTAAGAACAGACTGTTTCAATTTTTGTTTCTCCAGAATAGAGTGTCTTTAAAGTACCTGGTGCTTTCTCAGTAACTTAATGATTGTACAAATAAGAAGTAGCTCCTGTACCTTAAAAGGAATGACATACATGGTTGTTGACACTCCAAAGTTGGAAGCTAAGTTAATGGATAATGAAACTAAGAAATAAGTGTTTTGGTGCCCCCCCAAAGTTGAAATCCATGCCTATGAGAGATCCACAAAAAAACTCATGAAAAATGAAAAAAAAAAGCATGGATTTCACAATGTTTTTTTTTAAACAAAATAAACATCTTTCAGTTCCATTTTCCATTAACCATTTGAAGTACTCTTGACAATCAGACTAATACCTAGACTCTAAAGAAACCTCGGTATTTACATGTAAGTATTTAAGAATACAAAATAGCACTTGGAGAATTCAGAATATTGGAAGTTGTGGAGGTGATGAGGCAGGCGAGCAAGAGAGAAAATCCCTGTCAGCTGCAGCTTTTACTCCTCCTGCTCCTGGGCCTCTCCCGCCCCTCCCTCCTCCTCTGGCTGCCGTTTAGAGTTTCAAACACAGAGAAGCCGCTGATACTGCTCTGAATAAAACCATACTATAAACGTGTGAGCCCGACTATGGGCAGAGCGGGACCCTTCTCGGTTACTGTGGGTAATTGTTGAATGCATCTGCGCGCTCACTTAAAGGCCATCTGCGCAGCGCTCCGAGTCCGGCCACTCGCCCTCTCCCGGGGAAGTCAGGTGCATGCGGCAGCCAACCAGCTGGGATGTGCAGGGCGCAGAAAGGCGCCCCCTTTGAAGATTAAGAATGATTTTTTTTTTTTCGCTCCAGCCCTCCTGACTTGAAATGCGTAATTATTACAACTCTCAGATTCTCTTGTATTTTTTTAATCGACCTTTTAGAATTTTTTTCCTGTAAAAACTCAAATATTTCTGAGTGTTGTTTTGGAATAGTTGATTTTTTTCAGAGAGATGGATTCTGCACTATTTATGGGGTTTACACTATAAAACTCCGCAGCCCAGTCACGTGCCTGCTTTTTCCTGAGCCATCTGTCACAGAGGTCTGGAATTGTATGTGAATGTTGGTTGTGCAGTCTTAACCCGTTTTTTTTTTTTTAATAAAAAATGTCAGCAACTACAATATTTAGCATTTTGCTTTACGTTGGCCATTAAGCTTGATTACTATTGCTCTGTTTCATGGCTATAGTTACATATCATCTCTGAAGCCAAAACTTGTTTTGATGTGCTACTGGCAGAACACATTGTGAGATCCTGAGGAGAGAGAGTATGTGGCACTGATATAGTTAATATCTTGGATTTTTGTAACTAAGGTTCACTAATGCTGGTATAAAAACGTATCTGATATTATACAGATGGCATAAGATGTTGTGGTTACTAAGTTATTATCCTGGATAAGCTGTACTGACAAATTCAGGGCTTAAAACTATCACAGGAGATTAAACTATTTACTAAAAAAAGGGACAGAAAGATATGGCCAAAGCATCTTAGTACAACATATTAGAAGTGTATTTACCTCCCACAAATACAATGCAGCCTATCTTTCTGGTAGGCTGGGTGATTGAAAATCTAAACTTTGCATGTGAAACAAGCAAATACAAGAGGTGTATTTATTTTCCAAATCAGGCACAGGCGGCAAGCACAGCCACTGCAGCCCATGGCACACTGGTATTCATGAGAGATGATGAAGTGATTATAAAGAGAGGTTGAACAAATCCCCTGGGAGCTTCCATCAGAATTGGGGGTCTTGCTTACACAGTCAAAAGAAACTCCTGCTCTGTTAACCAGAGGGTACAGAAATGGTCAAGAGCTGACTTGTGAGATGCTGGATGATGGTGACCAGACCAGAATGGTGTTATTCAATCCATCTGGGAAAACTGCAGGCATATTCTTCCACTGGAGGCTGCATGGTCATGGTAACAGAAGATCCTGACCCCATAGGCAAGGCAGTAGGTTGGGGACCAAATATAGAATGAAGTCACATTTCCTAAAATTAATATGGATTATATATTTTATGTGTGTGTGCCTCAAAAACTTAGGCAAAAACATTCCAAAGAAGAATAATATGAAGTAGAATTAGCTCTAAGTCTTATATTATCTGATAAGAAAAAGTGTGTTTTTTATTCTCGCTTTATAACTTAACCCCCAAGTAGTCAGGCCATCAGCTGTTACCAGTAAAGTATGGTGTACAACATCCACCTTCTTGCCCCTGGTCCACTTAGGAAAGCCTTTCTGGTTCAGAAAACCTGGAGTAAACTTTTGCTTTCATCTTCATCTAATATTTCAATGAAGATTCTCTTTCAGTTGGTCATGTCTGCATATTTCTCATGTTAGATTAATATTGCAATGGGGAAAATTATATAGACCTTTTATAGACACAAATGTTAATGCTTTCAGTGATGAATTGGGAGCAATAATTCTGTAAACCAGCAAAGGAGATTTACAGTTAAATTTCAAGAATATTTATGTATAGAAAACAGTCTCAGCCAGTACATCTAGTATTTGGAACAACTTACTTGCATTAAGCGTACTTTGTTTAAACCCAAAAACATGAAGCTCACTAATGGGGCTGTTTTTAAAAGTCCGCCTTCTAAGAATTGGGCATTTGGACATTGCAAATCAGGAAGCTAGATTTAAAAGCAGATATACTTCCACAACAGCTTACATTTAAAATGATCCTTTAAAAGCCCCACATGGCAAGGCTATAACTGCAAACTGCTTAAATGTTTTTCTGTTTCCTGTTGTACACCAGGGAGCCGAGATAGAAGTGGATGAAAATGGCACATTGGACTTAAGCATGAAAAAAAATCGAATCCTGGACAAGGCTGCACCCCTAACTTCCTCTAACACTTCCATCCCAACTCCTTCCACTTCCCCATTCAAAGCCAGCAGCATTCTGGTCAATGCAGCATTCTATCAGGCCCTGTGTGACCAAGAGGGCTGGGACACTCCTATCAACTATAGCAAACCTCATGGGAAGCCAGAGGAGGAGAAAGAGGTATTGTTTCTGTATGTCCATCACTAAGTTGAAGACAGCATGATTGCAGAATTTTACTAGCTTTTCCTCCTTAATTATACTCCATATTCCTGTTTAGATAGCATGTCATTTTATTTTAGACTTTGGTAAAGTGATGATTTTAAATTTCAGACAAGATTTGTAAGCAAATCCAACTTTCTCTGTCAGTTACCTAAAACAATGTGTCAGAGTGAATTTGCTCCCAATGACAGCTGCCATGACACAGGGTGGCACCAGAGATTCTATTCTGTATCCTCAGCAAGAACCTTCTGTAAAAGGCAACCCATCGCCTGACACTGAAATGCCGTGCCACTGATTCCTTCTAAACCAGGAGTTCAAAATGAAATTTGACGAGATTTGAAGATAAGTAAGAATCTTCAAGTCAAATCTCCTTTCTTCCTTTGGTTTTGTAAAGGAACTACTTCAACATGCCTACTTATGGGGCCTTTGTTTGGGTTCCAGAATCCTGAACACTGGGAGATGAAGTTTATCAGTCCCAAAGTCACAAAGGCATATTTGTGTGTTTGGTTATCACAGAGGTGGACTCACTCCCCAAATCCAAATGGTGTAAGTGTGCAGAACACATTTTGCCTCATCACTGCAATTGTAACCCCACCCTTTGTCCAGATCAGCCATGAATAAATTACTATCATTCAGGAGATCTCATAACCAAAGTCTCATTTTCTACTGTCTATGTAGCTTCATTTATTACAGTAGGTGATCCTAGTTTGATGGTTTGCAGGGAAGATATTGATGGGTTTGTCCACTGATGTACTGAAAAACTAAAGTAGCCATTTGCTATGGAGGCACAACTTTTTGTTTTTAGCTTTGTAAATTTAGAGGACTTGAGTTGAGGGATCTAGTTTGATTTTAATAAGTGAAGTAATGTAAATACAGTTTAGCCACAGTAAAGGATTGTCCCATCATCTTCTGACTGCCTCCTGTCATTTCCTTTATGACACTGTTGCTGACATCTCCAAGATCAGGGAGTGAGATGGATTCTGGAGATGCCACAAAAACGCAGGCACACTCCCACCATGCATCTTCAACCTGGTCATGTGTGTGCTCGCCCTGGTAGGATCTAAGACAGCCTTTGTATGATCAGCACTCCCCACTATCCTATGAAAGGGTGATGGGACTCACTGAAGGCAGTTTGGGACTAGATGCTGCCTCACTGCCCTTGTTCGTCTTGTTTTGCATGTTTTAGATTTTTTCACATATATCCCCCATTATACTCCTCACCCTGTTTCGCCTACTAGCATCTCTTATTAGTATCTTTGTCGCAGTTAATGAAAGACGCTCTGATTGTCCTGTTTTCTTTAATCCGAAAACATCTCATTCCTTCTATTCCTCTTAGCCTGTAGTAATCAAGCTTCTGTGGTCAGATTAGCTCCCACATCTAAGGTACTTATCTTTCCATTTCTTATTTATTTTATTCAACATTATCTCCTCCAGTTCCTTTCATTTTGTTGAGTATGTATAGCAGATTTTATTCTTTCCTGCGGCTGAAGAGTTTTTCCTTGTGCATATATGCAAGAGTCCCTATCTGTTCATCTGATGATAAACATCTTGGTTTATTGTGAATAAATACATATATTTGGTTGTTGTGAACAATGCTACAATGCACATGGAAGAGCAGATATGTTTTTGATACAATGAGTTTATGCTTTTTGGGTATATACTCAATAGTGAGACTTTGGGGTCACATGGCATAAACATTTCTGGTTTGTTTGTTTTGTCAAGGAATGCTTCACACTCTTTTCCACAGTAGCTGTACTAGTTTTTAGCCACTGTAAATTAGAGAGCAAAAAAGCTCTTTCTCCACTTCCTTGTCAGCATTTGTTACAATTTTTTATACAATTAGCAAATTCTACTTTTAAAAATTCTGGAGATGAACCTAACAAATCTATCAAACTGCTAATTTATAGGAATATTTTACTAAAATAATGCATGTGTGACTACAACATGAAATTGACACCTTCAAAACACAAGAAGCTTATTAACCTTCAGTGATGAGCATGAGCTGACCAACCTGTGCTTCTCTTCTCCACTGTGTCAGCTCCCACCTCTGACTTCTGGGAAAGAACACTAGTTACACCTAACTCCCTTCTGTTCGGATAGAAATCTGTGAATGTCCATATTAATTGATCATTCTACACAATTTGCCTGAAATAGAAGTAAGGAGTAAGCTGGGGAATGGGTAGGTTGGTGGGTTGGTCGAAGGCACAATCTTAATAAGATCAACACTAATGATTCAACTGTAATATGCAAGCTAAATGTAGAAATACGGGAGACCCTGCAACACACACGACTGGCATGCTCGATTTCCAGTTGGAACACTGCATCTTGCACCTGTACCTGTACCCAAAGGGAAACCTAACTCTAGACCTTTTTCCTCATAAGACAATTGACTTGTTTGAATGGCTCAGTTACAGAGAGGGGATGGAGGTGGAGATCACTCCCCAAATGACTGCAATTCCAGGAGCCAGAGTTTCTTCTGGGTCCTTTACATGAATGTAGAGTCCCAGGCACCTGGCCCATCTTTAATTGCTTTCCTATGCACATTTTTAAAAAGCTGGATCTGAAATGGAGAAGCCAGGACTCAAAGTGGCACACATATGGGATATTGGCACTGCAGGCAGCTGCTTAACTCCACTATACCACAACTCCAAATTGTACACCACGCCTTTATCTGTGGATATAGGTGACTAGAAGTCATGTTTTCCAAGGGACATTACTTTGCAAAATAACTAAATCTGCATCCCTATTCTCACAAGAGCTGTGCCAAGACAAATCCCACTGTGTTCTAATTTCCAGGAATATCTCAGTGCCAAACGCAGAGTGACACTTGGGCTTTCTGTCCTCATGCATGTGACTATGCTATAAACGAACCATGCTCAATGTGTTCATCAGAAATCTTTCTCTTCATACTCAGTGTCTGGCATATGGGTCCAAACCTGATTACTTACAAAGCAAATTTGCCCCAGGCGGGTTCTCATTTTCCTTTAGTGTGTCTTGTGTTGTTTGACATTGATCATGCTTTTGTGCTCTCAGCGATACTGTCAATACACACCCTTTACATTCCGAGAAATTTCCTCCAACTGCCTTCCTGGTTGTGCGTCACTTCACTCAGAGAATGAGAACATGAAGATTCATAACATGCATTTTATCCTTACTTTTCGTTCTTGTTTTTTGCCTAAATCCAAAAACATCTTGATTCATTTTGGCAATTTCAGAGATTCAGCGAGAGTATGTTTTTATCTAATGTGTAGAGATCTGGCAGTACTTCATTTCCCAGAATATTTGCAGGGAAAAAAATATGGTTTCTTTAGACTGGCTGTTTTTCTGTATGGCTTACTTCAGGTCTCACAGCACAGCCTTTTAGCGCTACAGTTTTTAACCTAAGTAATCTGAAAATATGAACTTTAGAAGCACTGTGTATTCCATGACATCAGAAGTGACAGAGACTTTGCAGCTAGCGTGAGAGAACTTGTGCTTGTCCTGGGTTTGAGTTGACAGAATGTGTTTTTAAGTTGGCCATCACAGCTGTCTGCACAGGGTGTTTCCTTACTTGGGGAAGCTGTAGCTGATGGGAACACACACAGAAGTGCATCTGAGTCATTGTAACTACCAGGTGCAATTTCTCACCTTTGTTGTTTGTATCCATGCCAAATAGTTTTCACATTCTTTTCTGAATCTTAAAAGAAAAAAAAAAGATAAATGTGAGACTTGATAGGTCTTTCAATCAAGTGTCCTCTCTGAGAAGCAACACAATGTTCAAGATATGCAACACAGTCTAAGATGAGGAATCGTTATACAGTGTCTCACAATCCTAGCAGTCTTACAAGACTGGGTGATCATCAGGTTTTTGTTTTGTTTTAAAGAAAAAAAAAAAGCTTCAGAAGGTGGGTTGTTGGCCCTGGCTCTATAGAAACTAAGGGATAAGTTTAGGGGCTTCCTAATATTTAAAAGAAGAAGAAATAGAAATAAAAGAAAGCTTAAGATACACTGAAAAAAAAACACAAACAAGAAAAATCAGAATATACTAATGAAGATCACGTGCATATGGCAAGATGGGGTAGAAGCCATCATTGTCTCTGATGCTACAAAGATGCAAGGCCAAAGTTCTCAGGAAGTCATGACCTGACCATGGAAACCAATGATAGGACTGGGGCATTCTGGTCACCTTCCCATAGTTGTCCTAGAATAGCTCCATGTGGCCCAGAGGCCATAATGCAACTTATTCCTGATCCCACCCAATCCTTCCTTTGTCACTCCCTCAGCACACAATCACAAACTGAGTGATAATTTCTAATCTATTATTATCTAGCTCATATGCACAACAGTTGCTTCATTTGGGTGGTAATTTTCAGAAAATATTGTTTGTCTCTTAACGAAATAGCCTGTCCAGATGCCCCTTTAAAAAAAGAAAAAAGGAAAAAAAACAAAATATAAAAACCTGAATCTGGAAGAAAGTCAAAATATCTCAAAAGAGCTGAGAAATAACCAGCAATGGCCAGTGCTGTCAGTTTCATTCAACTGTCAGTTCTCCAAAGATTTCAGGGCTTAAAATGTTCAAAGTGCCAGATGCTATTAGATGTCATTCATGTTACCATTATGTTCTAGTCTTTACTGAAATCAATATTAACATCCATCTGTACATTAAAGAAGTTTCATTCCATGCATGTATTGCAAACATATACATATAGACTACATTGTCTTATACATTGACAGGATATAGCTATTATTTTCCAAGTAATACTGTAAATTTTAAAAATAAATAATAAATAGGACTGATTCAGTTTGCAAATGGATACTGTTCAGGAATTTGTCCAATGCAAAAATACTTGTTTAACAAAGTAATCCAAGAATTCTTTTTATGTGTTTCAACATATACACTCTCTGTAAGTTTGTGGAACAAAGAAACAGCAAAATAGCAAGTATTTCATCATACAATGGCATATATCGAGTCTGTAAGTCTGTAGCTTTTATAAAACTTTTTCAATATGTTAAAGTTGAGAGCCAGGAAAATCACCCTGATAAAACATTACCCTGAGTTACTATACCAAACGAAATACGATGTACTCTATAAGCATTAATTTTCATGCATTTTGTCATAATAAGCTTTCATAATTGGCCAGTTCTCACAAAAATTTATCATTCTCCTGCTTTCCCTATGTAAAACTTCATTCCAAAAACCAAGACTGGAAATTTCTATATACTGATCTAGAAAGATACATTTTTAGAGACTTAATGATTATCATTGATGAATAATAAACGTTTTTGTTATTTCACACTATTTTATGGAAAATTCAAAATCTAAGTAGAAAATCAAAGGTACATTGAAAAAACATTGGATTTAATCATCTAAAATTCTAAATTATGGTAGAAGATACAACCAAGTCCAATCCTAAAAGTCACAACTGAATGAATGATGGAATTATCTGGAATAAGTTCTACAAACTAAGAACTGTTCCACGTTAGCCAGCTAGACTACTGCAAAGACGTTGATTCAACCATCCATTTTGCAATAGGAACTTACAGTGACAGCGTTAAAATGACATTTCTCTTTGTATCCTGGCACAGAGCCAATCATATTTTTCTCTTTATTTTTCTTTTTTTTTCTTTATTTTTCAACAATGTATTATAGATTATCTTTGTCAAATATGTATCAGTAAATAAAATGGGTTGCTAAGCATTATAAATAATCTAAGATAATTTATATCAACTAATTTTTTATTAATATGAATGGAAGATACAGTCTCTAAAAATAGTTAACCATATTTACTCCAGTAAGCTCTTGTGTGAAATGATTGAATTACTACTCATACAACAAAAGAGATCAAATCACCTTGATGATTGATATCATCATTTACAATTTTTATTTGGCTGGGAAAAATCCAGGGGTTTTTGTTTTTCCATTACTTTAGGACATAAACTCAGAAGTATTAAAATAACATTATACTGTGGTATTTTATATCTATTTAATTTAAATGAGATTTACCTTGAATAATTAAAATAATTTATTCATCTTTGATAGATCAGTACCTTTGAAATTTAAATATAGTTTTCCATCTATATTAATCTGATTTTAACATTAAATCTAGAAAGCATTATATTTACTGAACATAAGATAATGATGAAAGTAGTTAATTATCTGATTTAAAGAAAAACCACCCATGATTTTTTGTAAGATAATCTATCACTTATTAAATAAACTATTTGAAAGGATTAGTGAGTGTCTTTAGAGATCAAGATCACCAGCAAAAAACAGAGGCCGTAAACAAAGCTAACATCCAGCTAACAATTCCATCCAATGTGCAAAAATACTTTGAGATACTGATTTAGCAAAGGAGGTTACTGACAAACACTGGGAAGGGATATGAACATCAAGGCAATTTTCTAGAAAAATTAAATGCCTAAAATGGTTGCCTCACTCCACATTTTAAGTAAATAATCTAACTCTTAATTATTTGAATATCAGAAATAATAATCCATTGAAAATGAAGTTTAATTTCTAGAAAAATTAAATGCCTGAAATGGTTGTCTCACTTAGCCCATATTTGAAGTAAGTAATCTAGGTCTTAATTATTTGAATATCAGAATTAATACTCTATTGACCTTAACTTACTTCTTCCTTTTCTGCTTACAAATATATGTGTCATGATATTTAAGGAGTGAACCAGCAGATAGAAGACCTCACTCTGTCTATTATCTACCACCTATCCTATCCATCTCCCCTTCATTCTGTCTCTCAAACAAATAAAATAAATCTTCAAAGAAAAAAAATATGTGATTCAGGGCAGGCATTTGGCTTTGGAGTTAAAAAGCCTGTTAAGGTAACTAAGTCCCACATTGGCAAGTCTGGATATAATTGTTAACACAGACACCTGACTCCAGTTCCCTGCTAATATATACCTTGAAGGCAACAGGTGAAGCCTCAAGTCATTGGATTCCTACCAGCAGTGTGGGAGACATGGATAGTGTTTCTGGCTTTGTTTAACCCAGCCCTCACCAATATGGGTACTGGGGAAGTGAATCAGTGGATGGAAGTATGCTTTCCTCTCCCCGTCTTCCCACCCCATATGTCTCTCTGTGTCTCAAACTTTTAACCTTTTTAAAAATTTATTTGGATTTACCTCAATTATAAGATTTATAGAGAACTAATCTGATCTCTTTGACACATTTTGTTATACAATAAAACTTGAAACGTAGTAAAATATTGGTTGAATACATAGCTCGAGAAATACCCCTGTAATTATATTTTCCAAAATGTTAACTTTTAAAAAGTCTTCTTTATAACTTGTCAGTCCTCACTGCTCACTTAGCATAAATGTACATACAATTAGGACATAACCATATTCATGATCTTATTTATTTCTTTTAGGAGGAGCTTTCAAAAAGTTCATGGGAAATGAGTGTTATGAAAAAATTGTGCAGGAGTTTCAAAAACGTTCTACAATAAGATAAGCCTCTCTTTTTGGGGGGGTTCATTTTATTATTAATCACATTGCATTATGTGGCACAGTTTCATAGGCTCTGGAATTCCCCCAACCCCTCCAAGATAAGCTTCTCTTAATCCTATAGCCCATGAACCTTTTGAAATTCCCTTGTAAGACTCCTCTGCAGTAGTTCACTAACTCTTTAAACCAAAGTTCAAACCTTACCCAATAATTTCAACCACAGTGGTCTTTTCAGGCTTCTCTAATGAATTTTTGTGTGTTTATCTTTGTTTTCCTTTTCCAGAAAGACCCGGTGAACCCTCTAGAAAATGTAGAGGAGAAAAAGTTTCCTGGAGAGGCTTCGATACCAAGCCCTAAACCCAAACTCCACTCAAGAGATCTCAAAAAGGAACTAATCACGTGAGTGATACAGTGCCATTCTAGCATCTGGAGCTAAGAGATTCTCGTTCCTGTTTCTGGATGCAGTGTTCTTACTTGTACAGTTGGCTTTGTATGGCTGCTTTTGGATAGTTTCAAATAGTTGGTAGCTAAATGTTAAAAAATGTACTTAATCATTGCACCAAACTAAAAGGGCTCTTTAAAAAGTGTATGTGACATGGTATTTTAGCTAAAATTAGTTGATTAAAAACAAAGTAAGACAAAAAACAAATCAAAAATGTTTATGATTTGGTCCCAGATTTTAAGTTAGATCTCAACTACTGTAGAATTCCTAAGTCTTGGTTTCAGGGAGCATATTAACCTCCTAAAACTGGATGCAAACTATGATTCAGATGAGAGTTAGAGGTTTACACACAATCTCTTAGGGTTCTACTATTCAGAATCTAGACATTATTTACTCTGATTTGATCATTATACAATGTATGTAGATATCAAACCTTCTTATTGTACCGCACAAACATACACACACACAACAATTATTATATAACAGTGAAAAACAGAAATAAACAAAATATGTAAGACACCTGAAGGTATTAAGTGCTACTTAGGTAGCAGTGAGTAAGTGAGCGAATTTGGGAAAGTAGTTTCTAGATGTAAATAATTAACTATTAATCAAGTCTTTCCATGCAGAAACACATTTATTACTGCCAGATAGTGAACATTCCCAGCTAAGAGACTTCCTCCAATTCACACCTGCACCTACAACGTCTCTTCTGGACCCTCGGTGCAAATATTTTTTTTTTAACTTTTGCATTAAAACTTCATTTTAGATCTCTCTCAACACATCTTGCACCCCAGTTCTTTGCCTTCCATTGTGTTCAAGCTGAACTCATCAAGAATGCTGTCACTACTTTGTGTGGCTCAGTTTCCCGCCTGAGACTTTCCCATACAGGCTGTTATGCTTCCACCAAAACCACTCTTATCAGGCGATCCAAACCACCCATACTTGATCTAAATATTGGTTCTTGGTGCTCTTGCTGGACAGAGGGATGTCACGGAGTTGATCACTCCGTCTTTCTAATCTACCCTCCATACTTGGCTTCTGGGGTATCTCAGCTGGAGACTTGTCTCGCACTTCGTTTTTATCTCTTCTTAGCCTTCTTGGCATCCTTCTAAAGATTACAATGCTCCGGCATGCAGTCCTAGATGTGCTCTTTTCCATCCACACTCATAGGGGATGCCACCCCCAGCTGTGACTTCCAGCTGCAAATCTTCCATCCTATCACTCCCAGGCACACCAAAATGCACTTGCCTTAGAGACATTCCCTGTGTCAGAAATGTTTTCCATTGGCCTTCAGGTCTTCCCTCAAAAGTCAGTTACCTGAGAGGACTTCAGCAGTTGTAGGTCTCCACGCTTCAGCTCTGATACACCTAGCCCCCTTTCAAGAGATTTTCTCTGTCAATATTTGTGGCTTCACCTTTGCCTCTCTAACAAAAGACAGGACCCCAGAATGCACGAGTGTGGTGTTTCTCCACTGTGGTTTCTCTACCATATCCAGGTCATTTTTGTACAAAGTGTTTCCTGTGCTGCTTATTTCCCTAATGACATGGACAGGGACTCGGAAGAATGGAGCACATCTCAATTGCCAGTGCCATACAGGGAGCCTTTCTCCCTGCAGAAGGTCAATAAAAGTTATTTGTCACCCAACTCAAGTATCTTAGAATCAGTGCTCTCTAAGGATTTTCTATACAAACATTCCAGGCTTAGATATCATGCTCCTTTACAAGATTCATATTAACCTAGAGGCTCGTGGGTGGAACAACATGATCGATGGTGTCCAACGGTGGAAATTAAATCTCACAGAACCATGTCTTTTTCTTTTTTTCCACAAGGAGCCATGTGGCTCAGCCACACACTGATGTCACATGGACCTATTGAGAGAGTATGGTCAACTTTTTATAAATTGTTTTTCCACCTGATATTTTTGAAAATATATAACTTCTGAATTTTTTGTATACTACCAATTTGAAAGGAGAAGCCACTTTGTAATTTGTTGAGCAGAATGCATGACATGATTAAATGCACTTGACTCCACTGATAACATTTTTCCTCCACCTAGCTGCCCGACACCAGGTTGTGATGGAAGTGGCCACGTCACAGGAAACTATGCATCTCATCGCAGGTACCTCAACAATCTCATGTATTGTCTGTTTGTCTTCTTCCGGTTTTATTATTGTTGTTGATTTTAATTTGAGAGAAAAAGAGAACCACAAAGGTGGAAAAACAAATAGGCGACCATCTACTGCCATATGCCTAAAATGACCCCAATGGCTTGAGTGACAAGCTGGAAGCAGCAAACTCTATCTAGGTCTCAGGTGGATGTTGCAGATGCAACTATTTGAGTCTCCTTAGTTCCACAGGAGCAGGAAACTGGAATTGAGAGCCTGAGCTGGGATATAAACGTAGGCAGCTTGACAGTTTTTCCAAAATAAAGATATATGGTATAGAAACCATGCTAAATCATTTTCTGATTCAATATGCTTGATAATTAAGCAAAAGTTAAAGCACGCGTCAGGCTTTGTGACTATTTTGGAACAAAACAAACCTGTCTGAATGGTACGAATCAGCTGTTCTCCCTGAGCAAATAGGTCAAGGTGCTGAAGACTCCAACAGCAAGTAAAGGCTTGGTTATTCTCTTTTCAAGTTACTTTCTTACTGATTTGATTTGCTTTCCTGTGGGCACTGGCTGAAATATTCAAGCCATCATCACCTGTCAGTGCAACAGGGAACATGTTCTATGTCAATGTCACTGTTTCACTGAACTCCAGATTTAGGTTGTCTCGCTGGAAAAACTCTTCTTTTGATAAATAGCAAGTCTGACTCTATGCGAAATAACTGAAATACCCAGGTTAGAGAAACAAAGTCAGATCTAGATCCAGTCACTTTTCCCCAATCCCCAGTTACATGTTTACAGTCTCAGAAAGCCAATGGAGTCTGATTTGTTAACGTCAGTTCTGTTTTCTTCTGTCTTTTTAGTGTTTCTGGATGCCCGTTAGCAGATAAAACTCTCAAGTCCCTCATGGCTGCAAACTCTCAGGAGCTTAAGTAAGTGTTGACAGCCTTGGCACCTCACCCTTCCCGCACCTTCCCAAACCTTCCTGCACCGGGATGCCACTCTGTCACCTAGCCTCCCTGTGATAAACCGTAACAAGCATCCAACTAAATTGTAACAAAGGCCTTATCTCCAGAAAGATAGAACAAGCAAAGCCAATTCACTCTAATCTACCTTAGTGGATTAGGGGCATTAATTTCTAAGGGAATGATAATCAAGAGGTCTATGAGAGTGTTGTGAAGACTTTTCTTCATCTAATTTTGAAAAAATTGTGTAGTATTTTTAAGGCAACATGTGTGTATCTGCAGAAAGTTTAGGATCTTTTAAAATGATGCAGCTGCCTCTCGCTTTGGAGACAGCTTTCATTTCGCCTTGTGTTACCTAGCTTAAAAAAATCTCAGTTACATATACATTAATTTTACATATTGATTTTTTCTGCTTTTTATCTTCTTTCATCCCATTTATTTTCATATCTTGTTAAATTATGCATATAGCACAGTATATAACTCATTTATTGTTAATGGATATTATAGGTCAGTACCAGAGATACCAAAAATAAACTATGGAATATAGTTTTTCTCATTTTGAAAGTGTAAACTGCAATTTAAAATGTCAATATAGATTCTAGACAAATTTTATTGACTTCCATATATCTAGGCTGAAATTATAAGAATGTTAGATAATGATGAATAATCACTACATGATTATTGAGTAGTAAAGATGAATAGTGAGGCATGCAACAGTGTTTTATTCAATTACTGTACATTTCCAATGTCACATTTTAATTGCAGTAATTGGCTCCCTTAATTTCTTTCTCTAAACATTATTTATTTAAAAAGTTAATAGTATCTTGAAAGAATGCAGATTGAGAAGTCCTATTTTAATATTCTATATTTAGATTTTATAGAGCCATCAAATAAATAATTTCTTTGATTTTTGCAATATAAGGAAAAATAGATACATTTCATTGGCCTCTTGTCTAGCTGTTCAAGAGAATCTCCAAAATGGTTATTTGCACAGCTGCTTCAATAATTACAACTTGCTAGTAAAAGCACTAACATACTAAAAAAAAAAGTCACTAGAAATAAGATCAGCATGCAACCCCTTTCTTACAGTAGAAAATACAAATTATGTTTTTAAAGAGGACAACTAAAGACTCAATGTATACTTTTTAGGTTAGCTAGAAGAGATGTATGGCGATTTTTTGTTTCACTGGGGAGGGGGCAAGATTTATGGTCTATTTCATGCCTTAGTACCAAATATGAAGGCATCCTGAGAAATTTAAGTGGGATAAAATTTTTTTTAAAACTATTTTATCAATTTGAAAGGCAAAATTATAGACAGGGGAGACTTGTTTTCCACCTCTTCGTTCACTCTCTAAATGGCAGCAAAGATAGGAACTGTGCCAGGCTGAAATGAGGAACGTCTATTCAGGTTTCCCAAATGGATCGCAAGGCCCCGAGTATTTGAGCTGCCTTTTGCTCCTGTCCCGGTACATTACCAGGAACCTTGGTAGGAAAATGGATCATCTAGGAGTCTAGCTCGTGCTCAACTGGAACGCTGACCTTTCAGACAAAGGCTTAACCTTCTCCACCTCAATGCCAGCTCCATCCATAGGGCAGAATTCAGGGAAAGGGATGACGTCATGCTTTTCTCTGGTTATTATTTTGTTTCATATGGAACTCCTCTGTTTGAATAGAGAATTGATGTAAAATCATAACAGGTGGTAATATCAGTAGGAGCCTTCACAAAAGGAGGTATTTTGTGATGACTTGAGTGTTTTCATTTGTATTGGGGAGTTTTTCATTTGTATTGGGGAGTTTTTTTAGGGTCACAAAACAATGAAAACCCATGTATATTTTTGTCTTCAAGTTCACTACATGAAATCTATTTCTAATCAGTATTCCAAATGGAAATGAATTCCTTTCTTTTTCATCTTTTTGCAGTTGAACATCAGTAATAGTCATTGATAGTGTTTTCCCAAAAGATCATTTAGCCTTGGTCATGAGGCAGAATAGACTAGGTGTTAATTCTTCAGAATTTTTGGAAATCATATTTCTGCTCCATGCCTCTGAAATTCACACATACCACCACTCTTCACCTGGAACAAATGCACTGTCAAGTAGCTCAGCATATCAGAGAAAACAAATTACTCATAAAAGAAATTTGGAAAACTTTCCTTCTCCCATGATTACATGATGTATACAAAAGCCCAGCTGTAAGTCTTGAGCTACTTTTCAAGTTTCTTGTAATATAAGGTATCCAAGGACAAACTAATTGTACAAAAGGCAACAACTAATACATTGTGTACCAAGCATCTCCTAGAAGTTATTCATATTAACATTCAAGCATGAATTCCTAGACCAAAGCTAATGGTGCTTAAAAAGAGAGTGAACCTTGAAAAAAGCGAGTGCCTTGGTGGAGTTCTGCTTGAACATGCTGTGATTTTTCCCCAACCACACACTTCACACTCTGTTTGTGTTCCCCAGGTGTCCGACTCCTGGCTGTGACGGTTCAGGACATGTGACAGGAAACTATGCTTCCCACAGAAGGTAGGACTGACCCCATTTCTGGGAACTGCAAATCAGCAGTACTCAGTGAGATCACATGGTTTTGCATTATTCTTTCTTGGATATGTTTTTTAGTTTGTCTGGCTGTCCCCGAGCAAGGAAAGGTGGTGTCAAGATGACCCCCACCAAGGAAGAGAAAGAAGACCCTGAACTTAAGTAAGTGCAACAGCTGGATCTTTGCCCAATGGAAGGGACCTTAATGTTGACCTGAAGTTGAGCATCATCAGAGTTTGGGGGAGGGTTTGACCTGATAAAACAGAGGATTCTGATGAGAACTTTTCTATGTAGAGCTATTTCCACATTTCTTTGATGATGGGAAAGCAGAGGAGGTGGGTTATGCCTTCTCCAGTGGTTTTTAAAGGAGGTAGCAATGTGAAAGTTCTTTGGAAAGGCAAATAATGGCACCATTCTCCTTGAAACTTTAAGGCAGAATTACATCTAAACTGAACGGCTTCTACTCTAAGAAAAATGCTACAGTCTTGGGCAATATGAGGATACTTTAAAACTAATGGAAAATGGAACTACAAAGTTTATTTTGGTGCAAAATAATGATGAAATCCAAGCATGCTTTTTTCTGTAATATGCATCTTCCCCTCGATTTTTTGAAGACTCCTTATAAACATAGCTATAAATGTTGAAATTTAAATTGCTTCTAAATACAAGGTCTAAATGCAAAATTTAATCATTGAGAAATCCAGATTTTATTCCTGTGAGTGTACTGCCATATCACAATGGTCAAGGCAGTTAACATTTCATAATCCTTGGTCTTTGTTCAAAAGTAATTTAACATGGTGCTTACATTACTGGCTCTAGAGCTAAAAATGTGTGGCCATTAACTTGGCTCCACTTCTTATAAAATTCCTGGAAGGTCATCTAAGCTTTATAAGCCTCATGTTTTCCACCTATAAAATGGGATTATAACATTCGCCACTCAGATCTTCATGGTGAATATTAAATGAGCTCATACACAAAATTTGCTTAACATAGGGCCTGCTGACCACTAATGCTACTTAAAAAAGAAAAAAAGATCTATTTGTTTGAAAGTCAAAGTTAAAAAGAGAGAAAGAGAAGATAAATATCTTTCATCTATCTGCTGGTTCATTCCCCAAATGGCTGCTATGTTGAAGCTGGGTTAGGATGAAACCAGATGCCAGAAACTTCTGGATATACCAAGTGAATGACAGGAGCCAAGGTACTTGAGTCATCTTCACTGCTTTTCTCAGGCAACTTTAAGCGAGTTTGATCAGAAATGGAGCAGTCAGGACACAAACTAGCTCACATGTAAGAAACCACTGTCACAAGCAGTGACTTCAACTGCTATGTCTCAACGCTGGTTCCCCCTGGGGTTACAAACGCTATGCTGTCTGGCTAGCTGTGATGGTTTCTTCTAAAACTGCAATTTCACTGTGTGTCCTCTGGATAGGCAAGAACTGTCATCACCTTCTTCCCAACCAGTAATGTCTTTTGTCTCTCCAGATGTCCTGTGATGGGATGTGATGGCCAAGGTCACATATCAGGTAAATACACATCACACCGCACAGCTTCTGGCTGTCCCCTGGCTGCCAAAAGACAGAAGGAGAATCCTCTCAATGGAACACCCCTCTCCTGGAAACTGAACAAGCAGGAACTGCCACATTGTCCCTTGCCAGGCTGCAATGGGCTGGGCCACGTAAATAATGTCTTCGTCACCCACAGAAGGTAACATCTGTGTTCTGTCTTTTTGCTGTGTCATTGGGACTGGTTGTCAACTAGGATACTTTGGTGAGGGAAATACTCCTAAACAACATTAGTTGTAGCGTTTTCAATGTTATAATGTTGTATCCTGCTAAATAGATACAATCTGAAGAGTGAAAATGCTATTTTCTCCATGTCTGAAAACACAACATGCCTTTCAAGGGATCTTAAAAAACTGTACCTTTGGATTTTGAATTCCAAAATGTTGTTGCTATTTTTATATGGTTCAGTCTTTTAATGGTTTGCATCAGGTGCAAGCAGTGATATCTATTCTATTGTATTGTACAATTGTAAATGTTCACCTTGTGTATTTATATCATTCCTTCCCTCTCATGAACTGGCTCAGTTTCAAGCCAAAATTGCAGTCATTTGCTGTTGAGGAGATGTGATTCAGCCACAACATCCAGAAAGAAAATGGCACAGTCACCAACACTAAGAATATAATATAGGCACTCTTTAATAATCCCACAATCACTTAGTTCTTTTGTCTTTGAGTGTTGGCTATTTCATCCAAGGCCTTTGTTAGGAAAGAGTGATCTCAGTCCAGCTCTTTGGTTCACATTCCGTCCAAAGGAAAAGAATTTGGAAGATTTGCCACACGTGTGTCCTACCAGTGCACCCTCTTTCAGTCATGCAGGCCTCTGCACAAGATGCCAGTTTTAAAACCATTGAAGCTTTTAGGGAGCCACATATGCTTTGCTGATGAGTACTGTATAAAGTGAGTAAAATTGGGGCATTCTGACATTGTTCAGTACTGAAGATTTATATCAATGCTATCAGAAAATTAAGTCTTCCAAAAGTCTTGTAATTTTTTTATAAAAGTACAAGTACGTTTCAAAGCATTCTTGGAAAAGTGAAATAAAAAAAATGTTTATTTGGGAGCCAATGTGGTACATGGGTAAGGTCATCACCTGCAATGCCATCATCCCATATGGGTGTCAGTCAGTTTGTAACCTGACTGCTCCGTTTCCTATTAAGCTCTCCTGATGGTGGCCTAGCAAGCATCACAAGTTGGCCCAAGTGCTCAGGCCCTGCAATCATATTAGGGAACACCAAGAAGCTCCTGATTGCTGCTTTTGACCTGACTTAGCCTCGGATATTGCAGCATAGTGAACCAGCTGATGGAAGGCACCTCTCTCTCTCCCTTTCTCAAGAAACAAAATATTTTTGTGTGTGTTTCAAAAGATTTGAAATATATGTTTTTTTCATAATATCCATTACCAGTAGACTTTTTGAAGAGCTTTTGTATGCATGGATTTCATTTTTTTTCCACCAAAATAAACTTACTTGTAAATTCTATTATCCACCCCATTATTCCCACTGGTGAGCATGAGAGCTGGGATGGGGGCAGACCAGGCCCTGGCAGAGCTACAACACCTGTTGGCCTGCATGTGAGCTGGGTCAGAGGAAAACCAGGCTGGATTGTCTGTACCTAGTGGTGCATGCATAAACCAGAGTTGGAGAGAGTTGACTGGGATTTGCTGCAGCATCAGCTGGCAGTTGTTGGTACAGGGGACTAATTCTGTCAAGCTAAACTGCAGAACTGCCTGGAGAGTGCAAGATCTGGGAGTGGAAGTGGGCACATTGGGGAAACAGTAGGTTATCTCCCTCTTGGATTACTATTTGCATTTGTGAACAAGAGAATCAGGACTAGGGGCAGGCATGATTAGACAGAAAATGGCATCCGTAAGCACCAGAGTGGACTGGATAGTGGAGCTGGTTGGGTCCAACTAGGCTTCAATGCCTATTGACATGTATAAGAGCACAATGTTGTACATACTGGCAAGTATAGGAACCAGGGCAGGGGCAGACCTGAAGGGGGTAATTGGAGGTTACTCTGACTAGGCTACAGCTCCCACTGGTTTATGTGAAGGCTGAATGTGTGGTGGGCAGGACCAGGCTGGACTGCAATACCCATTGGTTTGCATAGAAGACAGGACTGGAAATAACTGACCCAGTAATTTCAACTAACAGTATCTGCATACACTGATTTGGACAATGGGCTGTGCCGGACCTTGCTTTGGCAAACACACACAAGAATCAGATCTGAGATAACCTCAGATGCTATTTCATTGGGGATCCACTCACCTGAATCGCTGGACTTAGAACTCCAACCTTGGAAAAAATCGCATGGTCTGATTATGGAGTGCACGTGCAGAGCTGGGCCTCCTCAGTGGCTTAGAGGGAGCAGTAGACAGCATATCCAGATGCACATTTAGGATATGACAGTACATTGGAGTTTTCAGAGGACACCTGGTGCCATAACAGAGGATAGAGGACAGAACAAACTGATCAACTACCCCAGTCAAGTATTGGCAGTGATTATTTGGGCAGAGATTCTAAGGTGGACTATGTCAGTCAGTGGAGTCTGGAGAGGTTTAACCATGCTTGGAGTGATGAGATCGGCAGAAATTCAGAACTGTTGAACTCTCAAAACCACTTTAGTAGGATCCTCTGAGTATGCCCCACATTTGGAGGCCCTGGCATGGTTGGGAGGTTGAATGTGGCTTCTCCCTTATCTTTCCCCTTCCCCCAGATACAGAAAGGGAAAAAAGAGAATGTGGAAACGGTTCTCTAGCCCCTGACCCTTCACACCCTACTCAACTATGTAAAACTCATCAAAAATAAAATTAATTAAAAAATTTTCTATTATCCAAAAACTTTTTACAATGCCCTCATGTATGAAAGAAAACAGTTGCTAGAAAAAACTTGAATCATTCAAGTCATTTATTTGTTGATGCTTTTCAATTTCATGCCCATGTGTATCACATTTGCCTTCATTATGAATTTAGATCATTATTTCATATTGAAAACAGCACTCACTAATCAAGTCTCCTTATGGAAGAGTTTCTGCTCAGTGGCTTCACTGTCTTGCAGTGACTTCACTAATAATCATGTGCACAATGATAGAAAATATTAGAAATTGGAATTTTGCCTATCCATTAAGAAAGTGGATATTGAATTACCTGAGTTCATTTCCTGGTTCCAGCTCCTAACTCCAGCTTTTTGTTGGTGCAGGCTCTGGGAGACAGCTGGAAGCTATGGTGGCTCAAGTAGTTGGAGGCCCTGTGGCCCATGTGCAAGACCTGAGCTGAGTTCCTAACTTCAGCTGCAGCCTGACCTGTCCCTGCCCTTGCAGATATTTGTAGGAGTGAATCAGTGGATGGAAATTCTTCTGGGAGAGATACTGATATTTTGTGTTTTACATCATAATTACATCTTCTAGTATTTTTTAAATTTTACATTTATAAAAATGAAAATACACAGACATAAACAGAAATATATAGTTATTATAAAAGTGTGTAATTACTATTAATCTAGCTTTATATCTTACAATAAAAGTTCCTTTGAAAACATAACAGTCTGAGAAGGCTAATGCTATATTAAAGCACACAGATGTACAGTCATTGTAATGGAATTCTAGCTTCAAAAAGTTAAATAATAGCTAAAAATCAGTTTGTGCTTTGTATTTTTACTTTATTTTTTAAGATTTATCTATTTTTATTGAAAAATTAAAAAAAATTTATTTACAGAGAGAAGGAGATACAGAAAGATCTTCCATCCAATGGTTCACTCCCCAAATTGCCACAACTACCAGAACTGAGCCGATCTGAAGCCAGGAGCCAGAAGCTTCTTCCAGATCTTCTGTGTGGCCACAAGGCCCAAGGCTGTCCTATGATGCTTTCCCAAGTCACAAGGGAACTCGATGGAAAGTAGAGTAGCCAGGATAAGAACCAGTGCACCAGTGCCAGTGCTTTGCTAGGGGAAGATTAGCCAACTGTGCCATTGAGCTTCGGCTGCATATGTTGCATTTTTACTGAAATTTGTTTGTGCACTGTAATCAAGGTTTTCATTGAATAAGTTATCGTCCATCAATTCTTCTTAAGAAGGAAACTAAAGATACAGCATAAAATTGCTGGGGTGTACAATAAACTTTCATGCTTGGCCAAAACCAGATAGGACCTTGTTGTTTTCAGCATCTCCATTCAATGTGGGACTATATATATAACTAATTGCATTAGACAATACAACAAAGCAAGTGGAATTTTTGAAATGAGAGCCTTGTTTTCATATCTTAGCAGGCTATTCACAAGAATGCTACTAGACAGCACATTAGCAAAATGAATGAAATCATGAAAGTATATCAGCAGCAAATATCCCTACTTTATCTTAATGGGTAAAATAGTGTTTTAGTATAAGGACTTTTGTTGTCATTTGGTATTACTGCAAAGTGCATGTGGCTATTATTACTATTATCAGATAGTTACAAAAAGATAAAAAGATAGAGGGAAAAGACTTTCTATTCTTTATAATAATACACTTTTCACACATGGGCGTAATTTATTTATTTATTTTTTCCAGCTTATCTGGGTGTCCTCTCAATGCACAAGCTATCAAGAAAGGCAAGGTATCTGAAGAATTGATGACCATCAAGCTCAAAGCCACTGGGGGTAAGGTTGCATGGAAATGACCAGCCCATCAGGGTCTGGGTCACAGCCCCCATGTGTCTTCTAGATAAGAAGAATAACAGTAATATATTTAAGAAAATACTTTTTCATATTTGAACTACAACGATAATTTTACTAAAAACCAATTTCTTGATTTCTCCCATGCATTCCAATAAGGCTATCCAGCAGAAACAGCTAAGAACTAGTGTGCAGAGCATTCAGATGTACTGACAGAGGTCATGAGCATCTGTCTTTGCTATGCTAGTTACTCTTGCATGTGCCAGTGTATGCGTGTGTGTGCTAACCTGTGCTTTATTGGTACATATCCTATCAGAAACAATTCTTGCATCTATACTTGAATCCTTTGGTTTTGTTTTTCAGTACTTAGAGAAATCTTCAGCTTGAGACTGGATGATTTAAATTGGCTATCTATGAAAATTTCTCTATCCACTTCTCTACATCTTTATCAATGTTTTATCAGTTAGCATAGCATTTCTGAGTTCTGCATTTTCAACCCTCTAGTTTCGCTTTGATTGTTGAATAGTTTCTATGTTTTTCAGATTTCTAATCAGCATTGTCTCAGGTTGCTGTTGACTTCCATATCTGAGATCATTCTGAAGCATCTGAAGAATGATTGCAAGGCTTCACTTTGGAGATTCTATTAGATGCTTCTTTAGCACATAACTGTAATTGAGCTGCAATTAGCTGCTGTAATTTAATCTTTAATGTTTAATAATGTATGTGTGATTTAAAGAAAATAGAATAGATGTAGTACCCAAGAGAGGAAAACCCTTCTTGCTATTTTTCTGCTAAGAACTCCATCTGTTTTGTTTGAGGAGGCTCCTTAGGTGTGAGCATTTAGTCTAATGCTTAAGATGGTGATTAAGATATCACCCTGTAGCCCGTGACCCTTTGTACCCTAATAAACTAAGATTATTAAAAAAAAAAAAAAAAAAAGATATCCAGGTTCCATATCAGAGTGCCAAGGACTGAATCCTGGCTCAAGTAATTAGGTCCCGGTCACCCACCTAAGAAATGTGGATGACATTTCCAGATTCTTTACTTTGTCCCAACTCAGCACTGGTCTTTTTAGCATTTCAGGAGGAAACAAGCAAATGATAGTGTCTCTCTCTCACTCTCTCACTCTCTCTTTCTTTCTCCCTCCCTTCCTCTCTCTCTCCCTGTGTACTTGTGTATGTCTATTTCTTTCTCTCTTTCTCAAATAAATAAAAAACAGATAAATAAATACAGCCAGCAGGTGCTGTTCTTCTCTGTGAGTGCGCCACACAGAGCTACAGAGGGGAGGGCAGTGCACATACTGAAGGTGGAGGAGACTCAGGACGGCAGGGGCAAGATGCAGGCTCCGCTGTTTCCAGGCTCAAGATGTTCAGGGCTGGAGCTCTCTGCCCCTGCCACAGAAATGCTCTCCAAGCCTGCATGCCTGTCACAGAGAGGCACTTCAAAATGTTTATGAAAGTGAAATACAAATATAAGTTTTTTCTTGGTTCTAGACAATTTGAAATCCATGCTTAGATTTTTCCATAACATGATTTTCATGCATTGTTTGAAATTCCTAAACACATATTTTAAAAAAGTTGGAGCATTTTAATGTGTATTCATTTACATGTCACTTTATTTTAAACTATATATAAAGGCCAGAAAATCCAAGTTACAGATAGTAAAACAAAGCAATTTAAAACATAATTTAAATACCAGACAAAAGAAACACAAAGACAAGAAAGCAAGATGGGGCAAACTGAAGATCGTAGAGTATGTGAAGTAAGCTATTTATCTTGCACTAAGTAGGAATCTCAACTCTGACTCTGCCTTTTAGAAGCTGAAAAAAATAGGTTAAATAATCCCAGTGAGAACTATATTCTCAGTCAATAATTTCAGAGCAAAAACTCTTTCCTTTTTATTTATTTTGAAGTCAGAGTAACAGAGTGAAGGATGAACACACACACACACACACACACACACACACACACACACAGAGTGAGAGAGAGCTTGAGAGAGAAATTGAGAGAGAGAGATCTCCCATGAGCTGTTTCACTACACAGGTGGCCACAACAACTAGGGATGGTCCAGAGCCAAGAACTTGCTATGAGTATCTCTTATGGGGGCAGGAACTCAAGAACTTAGATTATATTCTACTGCTTTTGTGAGACACTAAGGGGAACTGCATCAGAAGTAAAGATGCCAAGACTTAAAGGACACCTATACGGAATGCTAGCATCACAGGTGGCACACTTTAGTCATTATTCCACAATGCCAATCCCTGAATTCCAGAATCAAACACATATGAAAAATATTTCCCATTAGTCCTCAATCAAACCCTTCTCTAAATACAATGTAAACCGCAAGGCTGCTGCCACTAAAAGTAGGAGCAGAACAGGCGGCAGATGCCATTGTTTAAGTTAGGGCTTTATCAGGGACTGAGTGCTGGGAAACTCACACAGTGAACCAAGAGCACAGGGACCAGCAAACACTCTTCAGCATACCCTCAATCTAGCACCTTCCACTGAGCATTCAAGGATGTGGAAAAGCAGTGAAAAGGGTTGAGTGTATTGTCCAGATTCCTGAGGTAGTTAATTCGTGTGGCCAGATGGTTGGAAAAATGTTTGTAAACTCTTAAAGTGGGGGCTAAAATCAGCATTCTGATATGGGATGATGGCACTGCAGATAGGAATTTAACCCTTTGCACCACCACGCTGGCCCCTCCTTTCTGAATATTAATCATCTTCAATCCTCTAAACTAAAATAGTCAACTTTACATTAATTCATTTTCCCCTAAATAAAAAAACTAAAATTTTAGCCTGTGAACTCAATATGAAAATAGAATTTTATTCAAGATACTTAATAGAATTTGTTTGTGTAACAACTGAAAAGCCTTTATAAGTTGAGCACTCCTGTATATGCCAGTTTGCAATCACTTATATAATTAGATGAAATATAAAGAAAATGTTGTAATTCATAACTACTCCAATTATTCAAATAGGTGCAGGTTAGTTTCAGGTAAAAATTAGAACCTTTGAGTGAAAATAAAGCATGTTCTACATTTTTAACTATATGCTTTAACAAAGAAAAAGGGTTGTTGATGGTTAACTAAAACATTTAGTGGATGGGCAGGCACAGTGGTGCAGCATGCCCATCCTCCACCCTATGGCATTGGTATCTCATACAGGCACCAGTTAGTATCCTGGCCGCTCCACTTCTGATCCAGCTCTCTGCTTACGGCTGGAAAAACAGTGGAAGAAAGCACAAGTCCTTGAGCTGTTCCTCCTACATAGGAGACCTGGAGGAGGCTCCTAGCTCCCAGCTTCAGATCAACTCACCTCTGGTGGTTGTGGCCATTTGGGGAGTGAAGCAGCAGAAGGAAGACTTTCTCTGTAAAACCTGCATTACAAATAGAAATAAATATTTTTAAAAAGAACAAACAAAAATTTAGTGCAAAATTTCTATGACTTTCTTACACCCTTCTAAGCATGCCTGTAAGAGAATGTCAGTGCCCACTGCTGAGTGGCACTTGGAAACATTAGGAACCTGTGAGTAAAGGTGACATTAGGGTAGAAACCACTTTTAATGATATAGGGGAACTCAGGGGGAGGGGGGATTGAGGATGGAATAAGGGAAATCCCAGGAACATATGGAAATGTACCATAAAATAATAATCAAAATAATTAAAAATAAGACAAAAAAAGAAGCCACTTTCACCCATGATAAACTTTTTCCAAGTCTCCACTGGACACATGGTGCCACAGACAACAAATATGTATTATACAGCACGTTTTTCATATACATACTTATGATAAATTCTAATTTGTAAATTAGGTGTCATAAAATATTAAAAAGTACTAATTGAGTAAGACAGTTGCAGTTATATGCTGCCATAAATGTTATCTACAACTTACCAATTATGTCTGTAATTTTGCAATTAATATTAAATCATAATGAAAAATAACAACTCACTCAGCTATTAATTTCACAAGAATTTATGGAGAGCCTATTGAGCATTGAATCCTGTGACGACGTTTATTATTTGAGGTTCTCGTCTCAAAGTCCTCCATTCCCACTAACTCCTAACCCTTGTTGATACAGGACATCTTCCAAGTGGCCTTGTCTTGACTAAGGGTTTGGGTGTCCTCACTGACATTGGGAAAACATAATCCTAACTAAGTCCCAGGACCAAGTGCCTTACTGTCACAAGCACCTTTAACTTGGTTCAAACCAAACTTTAATCATCCAACTGCAGGTTACTCTACCCAGTCTTCTCTCTCACAGAGCAGCATTACAGTCGCCAAGCTGCTCTCCTAGAAGTAGCCGATCTCCTCTGCGTCTCACCTCCAGCCCCCCATTCATCACATGTCTTGCACATTCTACCTTTCCTTAGCCATTTTTAATTTATTTTTAATTTATAAAATTTTATACAATTATGAAGTACCATATACATATCCATTGTGTCATGTTTAAATCAGAGTTAATATATCTCTGTCTTCAAATATTTACCATTTAAGTATGATAGAAATATTTGAAACCATTTCTTACAGATTCACAGATTCTTTGTTTATAGAAAAATGTATGCTATGCTACTGTTTTTCTGCTGCCAACCCACTGTTGAATATCACAATAGAATTCCCTAATGCTAGCTGTAACTTTCTGCCCTTTGCTCAACCTTTCTTCATCTGAACTTCCAAACTTTCCCCAGTCTCTGGTGACTGCCGTTCTACTCTCATCCTCTTTAAAATCAACTTGCACATTCCACATATGTGTGACATCATGAAGTATATGTCTTTCTTCTTAAATTTTGTTTATCTGAAAAGCATAGAGAAAGAAAGAGAGGGAGGTGGAAAGAGAAACAGAGAGAGATAGATAGAAAGATTTTCCATCTACTGGTTCACTCTCCAAATGGTTATATTGCTGGGGCTGGGTCAGACTGAAGCTTCGTCTGAGTTTTCCACGTGGGTGTAGGAGCCCAAGCACTTGAGCTGCTTTTCTAATGGTGTTAACAGAGAGTTTTATCAGAGCTGGGGCCCCTGGCACTCTAGCCAGTGCCCATGTGGGATGATGGTGTCCACAGTTGATGTCTTAACTTGCTATGCCACAACATTAGCCCCATAGGTACCACTGAGTTTATTATACTTAACATAATGGCATCCATTCCCTTCAATGTGGTTGCACTTCACAAGAGGTCATCCTTTTTGTGGCTGACTAGCATTTAATTGTGCACATGCTCAATTGTCATGCTCACATGTCCTGACCTACTCAGCAGTGGATAGACACTGAGACTGTTTCCATGTAGAGGTTATGGTGAACACTGCTGCAGTCAACATGAGGGTGCACATAGACCAATCCCCTTTTCAATGGATAGATATCTAACAGTGGAATTGCTGTACCGTATGGTGGCTTTATTTTTAAATTTTGGAGAAATCGCCATACCATTTCCATAATGTCTGAACTAATTTATATTTCCACTGATGGTGAGCAAATGTTCCGTTTCTCCACACCCTCATCACCACTTATTACCTTTTTTCTTCTTGAAAGCAGCAACTATCTCATTTTAATTTCATTTTACGACACAGTTCCACAGACCCTGGGATTCTCCAACCCCTCCCCAAGACCTCCAAGTAGTACAGCTCATAACCAGTCAAAATGCCACCATTGCGGGCATGGATCATGCAGAGTCCAGCATCTTACTATCAAGATAAATTCAGCAATTTTATTGGGAGACCATCTTTGATTTGAGAGTAATGGCAGAATATCATTCCCTCAAATGAAAAGCCACAATCCTCTAACTACTTCATGGACATCTCAATTTTAGTTTATACATAACCAACTGCTATAAACCTTAAAATGGTTATAGGGTACTATTCAGCTGTCTTGTGTCTTTTTTTCATATTTATATTTAGCAGCTTATAGTATTCAAGCATGATTTTACTGAACTTTGAGAATTTTAGGATAATCCAAACAGGCTTATAATTCTAACAAGCCATGTGTTAACTACGGAGGAGCAGAACAGTTTTAGGAGGGGTGTGCAGAGAAATCTTTAATACCTTAGTGAAGAGTATGATCTTTGTGTCCTACTTAGTGAGGTATATGAGAGTTCATGCTGACGTTTTCTTGTCTGTACTAAGCTTTCTTACTGGTCTCTCTCTGTCTATCTGATCTAATTCGGGAGGCTCTGGAGCGACCCTGATGGTCACTGCAAGAGAGGGTGGGGAGCCAAAGTTGGTACTAAGTAAGGACCAGAGAAAGCTCCTCTCCTGATTTCTGAAGGAAGTTATCTGTTCTGTTTCTGAGGACCACTTGGGGCTCCTAGCTGTTGTTCTGATGTCATTAGAACCTGTGAGGAGGGTTTTGGGCTTCATCCATCCTGTGTGGGAGATCAGATAGGGAATGGTTGACCTCAGAGTGCTCGTGCCCATACTGATTGTCCTTGATGAGTTATCCATTGCTTCTGTGGTTAAAGCACTTGGGAGGTTACCAGGAGTCTCCGGGGTTGGGATACAAGCCTCCTCCCGTCCTCCTGTTCCACTCTGGGGTCCCCTCCTGCTCTGTGCATATGACCTCCTGTCAAGAGGCTGTCAGGAACGCTGTTGGATCCCATTGTATGTCTTTACAGATTTTTCTAATGTCTAATGCAGATTCGAGTCTGCTGTCTATAATTTACCTATTACAATCTTGTTGGATTATACTTAACATCTTCCTTACACACTCTAAGAAGGTGGAAGATTTCTGAGTTCTCCTGACCCATTGCAGAATAACAGGGTATTAAAAGCATATGAGGCTTTTCAGTTATTTGATAAAGATCATAAACAGTCTGTTTCTCTCATTGGTTACTGGTTCATTGGTTACATCACAATATCTTACTGCATGTGATACAGGCTGTTTGAGGGTGTAATAATATTACAATTTCAGGTACGACTGACATAATTTCATCTTAAATTAAGGCAAAAATGTGGTATCTAACCTTTTGGGATTGGCTCATTTCTCTTAGCATAATGGTTTCTGGTTGGACCCATTTGGCCATGAAGAAACGCATTTCATCTTTTTTAATAGCTGAGTAATATTCCATGGAATAGATGAACCATAGTTTCTTTATCCAGTCTTCCAAGTTTTTGCTATTATTGATTGTGCAGTCAATTATCTCTTTCACCTACTTCCACCGCTGTGGAGTAAGGAGCCTGTCAAACTTAGCCAGGGCTTAGCAATTGTCTCCTTCATGGTTCTCTGGCTTCTACTGTTCCTCCTTTGATCCATTGTCCGCTCCAAATTCAAGTTACATTTTGAAACAATCAGCTCACACTAATTCCCATGTCTCCACTGGCTCCTGGTGTACATGAGGTAAGCTGGAGCTTCCTGGGGGTGGGGCCACATGACCTTCTATTTCCACCTCGCCCTCTTATACTCCTGGAGCATCCACTTCCTTCCCACAGGACACAGTTGCCTTCTGTTTTATCTATCTGGAACGCATGTCTTATCCCCTGGATCCTGTCCCTGCTCCTCTGCAAAGGCTCAGGAGAAGCATGTGGCTTAATCCCAGATGACTTCTGTGATATTTTGCATCAATCTCCTATTGTACATATGCAGTTATTTGTCTCAGATGTGTGCCTAGCTGTGGAGTTGTTGAATCATAGAGAATGTGAATGTTCACCTGCAATCAATGTCCTGATCTGCTTTCTGTTACAACAAAATGCCTAAGAGTGGGTATTCTATAAAGAATAGGATTGTATTTGGCTCACAGTCCCGCAAGTCAGGAAGTCCCAAGAGCACAATACCCAGAACCTGCATCATAGCCATGCGGGGTCAGTTGAAGAGTTAGGGTGAGTGTGCCAGCTCAGGTCCATCTTCCTCTCTTCCTAGGCTGCTCTTACCATCATGGGTCCTCCACCCCCATGAACTCATCTAATTACCTCCCAAAAGTCCCACCCATAAATATATTTGAAAATAACCTTGGTGGTGGGGGGGTAGATTTCTTTTTTTATTATTATTACATTTGATTTTATAACACAGTTTCATAGGATTCCCCCAACCCCTTCCTGTACCCTCCCCCCACCCATGGTGGATTTCTCCACCTACTTGCAGTATTGCAGTTCAAATCCAATCATACTTCTTTCATTGCAAGCATGTACTTTGCATAGTGTCCAGCATCTTACTGTCCAGATAAATCAACATTTTTGGGGGGAGACCATTTCTAACAATCTTTTGAGGAGATCAAAATTATTCTCTACAGAGATAGGTAGTGAACTATTCCAAACACAGGAGAATGGATCTCTTTGAAATAAATTGTCATGCGAAGTCTCTCTAAGCCTGGTTTCATGCAAATGATTGTATCAAAGCTAAATGAAGAAAAGTTAACATTTCTTGTTCTTCATTTTCTCACTGGCTCAGTCGTATTCTCCTGAACTGTGGATATTACTTTTCATCCTGCTTCTGTCATCCTTGATACTAACTTTCTCAATTTCTTAAAATGTTAAAGATGTGTTCAAACTCCCTCCAAAAAATAATTATGGGAAAATACAGCCACTCATTGGGAGCTCACCATGTCCTGTCCAGCAATTCTTATGATCTTGCCTTTACTCTCATAACCTAGACACTATATGCATTTTGTAGAAGAACTGAAGCACAAAGTAAAACAGCAGGTTGACTCAATTCAGGAACAGGAGTGGAGGCCAGTGGTCAGTCTCCAATGTAAATAGTCTTTCCTGTAAATTATGTGTGCTTCTCACTCAGGTCAACACAGGCAACCTAACTGTATCTCTCTGTGCATTAACTCACTGGCCAGACCCCCAGCTGGCACTTCTAGAGTGTGACAGGTCCATCTCCAAGAGACTCACTCACTCAGTAGAATTCACATTCTGACTATTTTTGCAGCAAATGAGCAAGAGAGTGCACAGGCACTGGAGTTTAATGTCAGCTCTGTCTCTGACTATGAATTCATGCAGCTTATTTAACTTCTCATCAGTGATTCCTGGAGCTGCACTTAAGCTCTCTGAGGCTCAATGCTTTCACATGTGGAAAAGGAACCGTGTGGAGTGTCCCACAATCCTGTGCAGTGTGGGTGATAACACGTGAGCAAAGAGTCAGGCAACACTTCTGGAACAGAGCTGAGATGCACTGACAAGCAATGTTCTTCCTTTTCTCTCTTCATTTCTTACAAGGCAATTAAATTTTATAACATCGTTAACTCTGTTTTGCAGAATTCTGTATCTATGTGCTTTGGGTAAAAGAATTTTGAATTGAAGTCTAATTTTCAACCAGCAAACCATAAATTAAACATTAAAGAACTCATCATTGTACAAGCCTCATATTTTCAGGTTGAACTAAGGCAACCTGACTTTCTTTTCAAGGTATAGAGAGTGATGAAGAAATTCGGCATTTGGATGAAGAAATCAAGGAACTGAATGAATCTAACCTTAAAATTGAAGCAGATATGATGAAACTTCAGACCCAGGTAAGATAAAATAGTAATCTTTACAGTAATCATGATAGTAACAATTTTGTTTTGTAATTTTTCATCTTTTAACTCCTTTGTTAAACGTATTCTTAGGTAATGTGTTCTTTGGGGTACTAATTATAAACAAATTTTCTTTCTCAAAAAATAAAGTGATAATGATGTTTTTCAAAAATTTCAACTGAAAATACACTGAAATCTCAAATGAAATATAGCAACAAGATAGTTGTAAATTCCTGAGTAGGTGGGTTTCCTGTCGTTGTCAGTTTGGGCAGAGCTAGTTGTGTTTTTCCCCAATTGCTTCAAAAGTTCTGTAAACAAATACAGACGATAATCCTACAGTTGGAGTCCTATAGGGCACACGGTGCTTTAGGAAAATTCATAATGGGAACTCTATAACATTATTAAAAATTAAAGCAAAACATCACAACTTGTTAACCTGATTTTTCAAGAAGACTTTTGAATGCTTCAGTATTAGGAATAGATCTTCCTGGATATTTTCGTGAGCAAATTCTTTACCCCTTCCCCAATCCAAACAATATCTCAATCTTGCCCTCTTCTTTGTAGTGTCTGTACATCTCCTAAACAGATTTATCCAAACAGAAATGGAAAGTTCTATACAAGAATTTGTGTTGCTAATAATAACTATTGCAGCAACACAGAAGAAAAAGAATGCAACAAAGTACAAATAAGTCCCAGAGTCTTTTCCCCATTATTTTCTTCCATCACAGGGGTTACTGATACTCAGCACATCCAGTACACAGCAGCTGGGGACAAAGCAAATTCTAATGCATCCAAATTGCAATCGCAGTTTCCTTACCTGGCATGACCTTTGGCGCAGTCTCCCATTGATAATCACTGGGTCCACAAAAAGAATTTGATGTTTTGGTTTAGAAATCATAGGAATTTTTTTTAAATCACTAGCAAAGAATGCAGAGCTTTCTATCCTCACGGAGCTTAAATTCTAGAAGGGGGTGGGGGAAAAAACAAAGAATCAAACATCCCTCATAATAAAGTATATTGTTTCTGGAAACAGGAAGGGGTAGATGAGAAGCTACTTTCAATCCTAAGCAGGACAAGTGGACCCCCACCCCTGCCAAAAAGAAAAAGTCAGCAAACAGGTGTAGGGAGGAGGATTTCAGACATGAAGACCAAAAAAGGCCAAAACTCTAAATCACATTCAGGCTCTGAGATTTGAGAAATAACACTAAGGGGGTGTCTGAAGGTGACTGGGCTGAGCAGGGAGCAGGGAGCAGGAGGATGGCCTCAGTGGGAGAACAAGACCACTCACATGTTCAGATGGACTATCCTCGGCTGTTTTTAAAGAACGTCAACTTTCATTGCAAATGAGCTTAGATCAAACTCATGGGTTTGACCTAAGAGATAACATGATGGAATTTCACTAACAACATAAGAAACTTGATCTCATATCTGTTGAGGAAGGATCCAAAAGGGAGTAAGTGGAGGAAAAGCAGTGGCAGGACTACCCATGAGATGGTGGCACACCCACTCTGGTGTCTGGGCCCAGGTGGCAGCCAAGCAGGTAGTATCAATGGTAACATTCATCCTGAATTCATTGAAGGAAGTGCCCAGAGAATTTGGGGTATGAGAGAAAGTACCACAGGGTTACCACCAATCTCAGAGACATATAAACTGCCATGTCTGGAAAGGAGAAGACTGTGGGTGAAATGGGTTTGGTGAAACAGCTGATGTTTACCTGTGGGCACAGTGTGTTTGAAATATCCATTATGTAGTCCTGGGGGAGGAAGACTTGAATGTGTAATTAATGTGGTTCCAACACCCAAAGCAGTAAAAAGGGGTGTACATTCATGCAGACAAATTGTGCATGCATCTTGGCATTTACATTCAACTGATGTGTCTTCCTGCAGGGAAGACGTTTGTACACCTTACAAATTCAATTCATATTCCATTTTAGATCACATCCATGGAGAGCAACTTAAAGACGATAGAGGAAGAAAACAAGCTCATAGAACAGAATAATGAGAGTCTGCTGAAGGAGCTGGCAGGTCTGAGCCAAGCTCTCATTTCAAGCCTAGCAGACATCCAGCTTCCACAGATGGTAAGTTCAAGGCCAAAACTTTGGGATTCCATGATAAGTGTTTTCAATGTCTTCCCACAATTAAGCCATGGGGCTGCCAGTTAGACACATGTACTTTAAGGAGACCTGTCAGCAGTAATCAGAGTGATCACCATTTCATCATGTTCTCACTTATTCTGTTTTCCCCATTGTACCCATAGTTTATAAAGTTTATAAAGTCAGGACTCTTCCAAAAGTTCATGGAAAATGCATAGAATGGGAAACAAAAATTCATATGGGCCAATACAAACTTGTCTTTAACTCCTTTTTTATTCTGTGAACTTTGGGAAATACTCATGTATGTTTAAAGTAGATTAAGGCCAAGCTTGTTCTGTTAAGATCAGGGTCATTTCAGATTGGCATTTGATATGACGTGTAGTTTATAAGGTAATATGAAGCTTGAGGGCCAGTTCTGCAAAACTGCAAATATATGTACAAATAAATATTGCCAGTTCTTGGCATCATTCCACCCCTTTACTGAAAAATTGTATAAAAAGTTTAGTCCAATCGATATGGTCCTTATATCCTACTTCAGTTTTCACACCACAAAGTAAAAACTTGAAAGTGATAAAATATCCTTATTTTAAAAGTCTAAATATGTCATCTATTCAACTACTTATGATTTGTATGACATTAATTTCCTTCTCCTTTTCTTAAATATAAATAAATCTTTGAAGGAGGCACTGCATTGTTGAAAGCTTTCAATTTCTTCACAGCTTGCTTTCTTACAACAAGTTTCCCAAAGCTGGCATTTTATCGATGATGGTTTAATGAGGCAACAACATGATGAGGAAATAGAACAGATTTTGTTTAATATAGTAATTCCCTCAATTTACCCACCTTCTCAGCCTGAGCCCTGATCTTAACTAGTTCTAAATGTGTTTCTTGACCTCCCTGAAATATCAATAAAGAAAATGAAATTATTATGCTATTGCTTTGTGTCTATAAAGGTAATAATTAGATGATATATTATTTATGAACATTTGTGTGATACCTTCTTTCAATATGGATGTGTAAGTATGTTCCTCTTTGCCAGGGCCATTAAAAGCAATGATACTACATGAGATACTTTGTGCCTTGTGCCTTTGGCATCCAAGACTCTTTAGGGTAACCTGTAGGGTTGATCTCACAAGAGCACCAAGTCAAGTAAGCATGGAGATTCCCATTCTACCGTCAAATAAATGAAGCCTCAGAGTGTTCTATCATTTGATCAAAACTCTAAAGCTAGAACAAGCCAAATGACCTGGCTTTCTGATATTGCCCTTACCCACTCTACAACTCAAATCTTCTAGAAACAAATACATGGTACAGCAAAGGCAGAAACTAAAGAGCAGCAGTCAATCATGATTGACCAACACTAATAATTTAGACAGGCATTTTGCTTAGCTTATCCAGCCTTCACATTTGCATAATTTACTCCCTACATAACAACAATAACAATAATTTCCTGCCTATCTGTAGTATTTAGACCTTTTTTAAGATTTAATTTTTAGTTATTTGAAAGGTAGAACTGCAAACAAAGAGATAAACACACAGACATCTTCCGCCCACTAGTTCATTAGTTCACTCCCCAAATGGCTGCAGTGTCTGGGGCTGGGTCAGGTTGAAGCCAAGAGTCTGGAGCTCCATCTCAGTCTCTCATATGGGTAAAAGGGTCTCAAGTATTTGGATCATCTTCCACTTCTACCCAGGATGCATTAACCAGGAGCTCAATCATAAATGGAACAACCAGGACTTGAAGTGGCACTCATATGGGATGCTGGTCTCACAAGCAACAACTTAACCTGCTGTGTCACAGCACAGCCCACTATTTAGACCTCTTAATCACCGTTTCTTCCAAGCCCTCTGTGTTTGGCAAGTGATGAGGAAGTGGAGGTCCCAGCAGTGCTGAAATAGTATGCCCTCTTTGTCCTTTATCTTCCTTCATGCACTGTGACATTCATATTGCCCCAGTGAGCGCTTCACAGAGCATCATGTTAGACAAGGAAGATACCAAAAGAATAACACATGAAGAAGCCTTGACTGTGGAACTGCTGGTCAAGCTAAAAGGCAGGTAGAGAATGTGATAAGTATGTAATAATGATGCTACAGGGAAAACTCAACAAGGTGCTTGAATGTAGAGGAGGAAAGCTTTCCACCAAAATTGGCTAATGAGCAACCTGCTGGACTCTTACATTCCTTAAATTCCAGCACACAGAGCTGTTAGACAATCAGCTTTGCTCCCCTTCCCACCCTATTTCTTCAACCTCAACCAGGAAGGTTCATCTGTGCTGAGCACTTGCAGCTGTGGCTGAGGCTGCCTCCCAAATGAAGAAGTACAAGTTTGAGGATTCCAGCCCAGCCACTATTCACACATCTTACATGGTCCCCAAATGAGCTTCAACACTGTACAATCAAGACTCATTAATCCCAGGAACTTACTGAAGGACAGGTGAGGCCTGGCATGATGGCTCAATGGCTAAATCCTTACATTACAACTGCCAAGATTCCATTTGGGCACTGGTTCATGTCCTCACTGCACCCCACTTCCCATCAAGCTCCCTGTTTGTGACCTGGGAAACCAGTAGAGGATGGTTCAAAACCTTGGGATCCTGCATTTATGTGAAAGAATCAGAAGAAGCTCCTGATTTTTGGGTTTGGATCAGTTCAGCTCCATTCAGTGCAGCCATTTGGGGAGTGAACCGAAAGATGGAACATCTTTCAGTCTCTCCCTTTCTCTGTAGGTTTGCCTTTCCAATAAAAATAATCAAATTTTTAAAGAAAGAAAAAAGGAGGGAATGAAGGAAGGAAGGAAAGAAGGAGAGAGAGAGGGAGGGAAGGAAGGAGGGAAGAAAGGAAAGAAGAAAGGAGGGAGAAAAGGACAGAAGGAAGGGAGGAAGGGAAGAAGATGGGAAGAGAGGAAGAGAGGGAGGGAGGGAGGGAGGGAGGGGGGGAGGGAGGAAGGAAGGAAGGAAGGAAGGAAGGAAGGAAGGAAGGAAGGAAGGAAGGAAGGAAGGAAGGAAGGAAGGAAGGAAGGAAAAAAGAAAAGTGAATCTCAACATACCCTCAAAGCTTCTTTATCCCCTCAACTGGCAACCTTCCCTCCCACACCATGGCCATTAATGTTCTGGAGTGTTTAATGGCCCCTCTTTTGCCTCTGCCTGAACCCCTGTGATTGGCTCAATGTGTTTTGTCTCCATTTAGGGACCTATCAGTGAGCAGAATTTTGAAGCCTATGTAAATACACTCACAGACATGTACAGCAATCTGGAGCAGGACTATTCCCCGGAATGCAAAGCTCTACTGGAGAGTATCAAACAAGCAGTGAAGGGCATCCATGTGTAGGATCGCAGCGCTACTGGGCCGCACAAGTCACCACAGCAGTAAACTCCAGATGGATCTGTCAGGGGTTTGTATACTGCTAAGGCATGGAGCTTGCCCTACTGCATTTACAACTGCAACATTGCACTAATATTTTCCCCCAACTGACACGAAAAAATAAAGTAAAACTATGATAGACTCTTTGGATTTAAAAACAATGCAGTCAATTCTTAGATCTTATTTATTTTCATATGTTTTTCTTTTATTTCTCCATTGCACACTTTCTTTTGTAAAGTATATGTAAAGTAAATGTGACATTTTTATATTTTATTTATTACTAATCAAAGAGTTTTTTATCTTTTAACTGCATTTTGAAGTCTGCCATATTTTTACAAGTGTGTTTATTAATTTATTTGCCAATAGGATTTACATAGAAATGTTATTCTCAAATCACCTCTCTCACTGGATCTAGATGAGTGAACAGGAAGATGTGAAAGAAAATCCTTGTTGAAGAACTGCACTATGGCCAAGTTCGATTTTGATTGCACACTTCTCCCTTTCCTCTTTGCCCTACTTTTTATAGTTATGAGTTTGCAGTATGGTGAGTTGCATGGAAGGAGTAAGATAAATGGCGCCCACTAGTGGGCAATTCGCACTCACAAAAGCACAGGATGCTGGAAAACCGCCTGCTCAGAATTTGCTAGCAATAATTAAACACAGCAATCAGCAAAGTATTTGACTTGGCTGTATGGTTTTCATTATTATGCATTATTCATTTGAAACGTTTTAAAGAAACACAAGCCTTTAGCAATGCAGATTTGTCTGTTTTCCACATCATACCAGAGATTTGGCATTTTATCCCAAGATGAGTTTATGTGACCAGCCAGGATTTCCCTCCATATGTTGGTACAATATACAAGAAAAATATTGATGTAGACTTGTATTTAGCAAATACAAACACATCCAAATGGAAAACTTTGTAGATACCATATCCCTTGAAATAGCATTTATCTTACTGGGTTGACTGGAAAGGAATGGAAAATAGAGCAAGACACGAAAAACATTAACTCCAGTGATTTCACTGAATATTGGAAACACTGGTTTTACCTTATTTGAAAACAAGACAATTTTCAGTGTGGTAAAAGAAAGTCTTGCCCTCGAACTACAAATACTGCAAAGTACAAATACGTACACACACACACACACACACACACACACACACACACACATACAGTCTTGGGCACAGTCACAAGACACACTCATTCACACGAAATTGAGCCCACAATTGTGAGTTTCTGAAAGGGTCAGAGCTTCGTAGTTGCTATAGTAAAGGCAATGTCTATTTCAGGGACTGTAAAGTAGTTAAGCATTGTTTCAAAGGTTTTTTTATATTTATTTTTTTTATAAGGAAAAGGTATAAACAACCAGCTAAACTGCCTTTTTGGTGTGCACACACATTTCATGTGCGGACGTGCCTCTGTGTAAATGCACACATGAATTTGGTGTGGACTTAATTTTCTGTGCTATAACAAAAGTGTTTATTTTTGATTAGCCTCATGGATATTTAGATTGAATGTGATGGCATTCACAAGCTTGATATATTCTGCTGTTGTTACGGTTACCTGCACAAATGAAGAGTAATACCCAACAGTAATTCCACACTCATAAAAGTTTGGTCACTGTTATGCATTAAGTGGGGCTTATCTTTGGTTTGGGGTTCGTTTGAACTCTCGAATCTTAGTTTAGTGAAAATGAAATGTCTGTTCTTAGGTAGAAACAGTGTTTACTTAAAAATCAATTTTAAAGAAGAAAGAGCTACTGTATTTGCTGTCTATTATAAATGGGACGCCAAACAAAATTTTCTATTAAAGTTATGTACTTGCAAACATTTTGCTATACAGTACTTCATAGATGCATACAGATGAGTTCACTTATTACAAAGACAAAAGTTTAATTTGCTAAATATTTTAACAGTTTGTTATATATTTAATTTAAAAGAAATCTCTTACCAACCTACGTATTTATTACTATAATTTACTATGACTTCAGGTTAATTTATTTGTGTTTGCATAGTTTAAGCAAGATGTTTTGTGATGTTTGTATTTATTTGCCTCCTTTGTACTTGATGTGTTTTGTAATGTGCACTGAATTTTTTTTTTGTTTTAACTATGTTGATGATTGATACTGTAAATTGGGTCTTTTGTAAACAACAAAAAGGCAATGATGTATGCATTTTTTAATTTGAAGTAGTTTGTTTGTATACTGTTTATCCAAACAATTAATATTTCTTATATCAAAGCAACAAAATTGTGTTCAGTGCTGTATATTTGGTGTATGGTAGGAAATAAACATTGATGATGAGTTCTGCCATGGTCTTTCTCAGGCTGCTATGTATGGACCAGGATCATCATCCTACTGAAACCACAGCTCTGGAGGGAGCTCGGAGGGGCAGATAGAGTGTGTTTGTGCCTGCAAAAGATTCTCATGCTTTTCTGCCTCGTGCAGCGGTCTGCCTGGCTCTGTATGAACTGCAGGCAGGCAAACTTTCTGCCTGTGTGGTGTCATCTTGACTTCGTGTGGTCTCCACTTCCAGACCCAAGGATGCCTTTGGCATAGGAACATCCCACAGGATCCTGAGCAGTAAGATGTAGGTCTCACCTGTATTGCTGAGAGTACGAAACAGAACTTAAAGACTAGTTTACTAATGTGTACACACGCACGCACACACACACAATATCAAATTAGTTTACTCATCTTTTAATTTTGAAAAATGTGAAACCCACGCATGATTTCTTTTCATAGCACACATTTCACAAACTTTTTTGAAGAAGCCTCAAATACAGCAATTTCAATAATGGTTTTCACCAAAATAAATGTATAAGCCCACTTTCCATGAAATTTTTGAAGTCTGTCTGTATCTATCTATACATGCACATAAGTCAAACTCTTCAAACGAAGAAAACAATTAACCCTTGATTTTTGCCTCTGTGTTTTTCCTACCTAATGTCAAACACTCTAATTTTCTCATTTATGCCCAGATATAAACATTGCTGGGAATGGCTGCCATTTATACTTACTGTGGTAAAAATCCATGTAATTCATTAGGTCATGAAGCAAATTGACTGAAGGAAGGCCTGGGTCCGCAGGGGAACGCCAGGCAATGCCTGCGTAAGTGTTTCTATCACAGGAGTTGTCACTGAATGGTTAGTGCATACCTTTGCTTCTTTCAGTCACCAAGTGCACTTTTCCATGGCTTGCAGGTGCTGGATTCAGTGGCAGTAGCCTGCCAGGATTCCAGGATCCCAGCTTAACCTTTGCCAATTGTGTGCATCTTTCCTTGATGGGAATCTGCAGCACTGAGTGGAGCCTACAAATCTGTCTCCAAATGTGATACAAGGACCACCCATCCTATTAGAAAGAAGAAAATAATGAGTGTAAACTTTCCACACATAGACCATGTAGTTAGAGCACACGTGCACCAAGCCCACTTTCCAAACTTTAAGTTTAGCCTAATGGAACACAATGAAATTCGCAGTAGATGCTGTGATACACAGGTAACTGTGGGAACAATAGGAGGGCTACCCAACAAGCTTTGATTTCCTGGGAGAAGTATCAGCTTGAGATTTGTTGGGAAGTTTTGAGAAACAGCAATGCAAGTGGCATGCACTTCATGTGCATAGGCATCACTGTGAGCTAGGTCTGCAAGAAGGCAGTTCACTATACTTCTAATAGCCAAAGTGTGGTGAGAAGCAAGAAGATACAAGAACCCTGCAAAGTAGCAGCAGGGGTAAGGGGGAAATCAGTGTATGAACTGCCGATGTTTACGAGCAGACAAAGGTATGCCAAGAAGCAGCTAAAATCAAAGAACATTATGACACTTCCGTAGCAGATGGTTTATTCAACAGTTCAGATGATGAACACTTCTGAAATCAAGGATGGCTTAATCTAAGAAAACCATATCCAGTGCTGTCCATGAGGACTATGGTCAGGAAGAAAAAAATCAATAGTGGCTCTTCTCCTGGTCATTTTCAGAATACCATGTGGAGATGCAGTTCATCAGTCCATGAAAATTCCTGAGGCCTTTAGAAACAGGACAGAGATACTTCTACAGGAACCAAAGCCCTGACTGAAAAGGGGACAAATGAAATGATGCTTTGATTTGCTCCATCAGAAGAAATTTTAAAGATTATCTTGCTATGCTACATAAATATTTTATTAATAGCCATAATATTAATGTTTTCTATGTCTGTCTTCATTGTGTCCATTTTGTTATGGTCTGGGAATTGTACTCTGTCTTTGCTCTCATTATTGAGCAGATATTTATTAAGTAAGCAGACTTACTTGGCTAATGATTATCTGCACTGTCACACACAGTCAGGGATACTTTGTCTACTTCTTTTCACAAAATTCTCAGATTTGTGGAGCCAGAAATACCATCCCTGTTAAACTCGTGAGGAAACCCGATACTCAGAAACGTTAGAAACACAAACTTTACCCAAATCATAAAACTAGCAAATCATAAAGCCAGCAAACAGTACAATCAGAATTCAAGCTCAGATGGGTTTGATTGGAAAGCAAACTATAGCCTCTTTCCACCATTTTGAATAAACCCACTGGATGTGGTATTATGAGAATAACAATGACTTGCCCTTTCACACATGAGGAAGCCCACAGTAGATTTCTGGACTGGCTTCTGTAACCAGAGGGATGTGTCAATCTTCTATCGGAATTCTTCTCATCTGGAGGAAAGAAAATAAGAAATCAGTACGATAAAGAACACATGTTAGGGCCCAGACATCTTCCAGCAATGCTAAGGCATAGCACTGTGATACTGCCTGTCCACACTGCCACCCCACCCGAACCCCCAGTCATTCCGAGAAGTATTCTTTTCACATTTAGACCAACTATAGGATGTAGTTTTCTTGTGAAGGCATATCATAAATATGTGATGGTTTAAGCATTTATCTGATGAAATGGAATTTTAACAAGTCTTAACATATGTTATTAGCAGTCAAAATAAGGAAAATGAAAGGAATTTTTTCGTTGTTCTTCTTAGAACAAAGCAAAATAATTACTTTTTTCTCTGTGCATGTTTGACACTTTTGAATTGGCTCCCAGTAACAAAAGTGACACTTTCTACTGACCTTTAGCAGCTATTAAATATTTTTAAACCTAGAGAGAATTTCAAGTTCCCTGCTTTTAAGAAGCAGCTGCCATGTGACTAGAATATTCCACTCAGATACATATTACCATATGCAAAAGTAGTCATTTTCTCCCTGCATTGGATTGCCTTGTTCAGTATTAAATGCAATCTTGTGAATTTATTGGTGAGCCATTTTAAAGGACAGATAGTGCTTTGGGGGATATGTCACTCTCATGATGGTTTTAAAGAACAGAACTTATAACCCTCAGAATTATTTGTAAATATCAGTCTCTGAGACTGATGTACTTGAATTTCAAAACAGGAGAGACAATGTTTCAAAGTTTTGTGCCTCATCAAAGTCCTGAGGGCCCAAAACATCCACACCTATGCAGCTGGCTGTGCACACCACCATGGTTTACTGCTGCAGTGCACCAGCCTTGAATACTGTGTTGTTCACATAACAAGTGTTAGTCTTTGAAACTCCAGTCCAGAAAAGCAGAAAATATCTGCATGATTTATTCCAGAACAGTCCACTTATCTGGACTAGAAAGAGCTAGAACTACTTTCCAAAAAAGATGATTTCTCAGTATATTAGATGGCATCAAATGATTGTTTTATTCCTGGAGACTCATCATGAAATCCTGGCTTTGCTGTGAGTGTCTCCCAAATTGTTGAGACACAAACGTGTCCCATTCTCATCATGTCCTCATGTTGAAAGGCCTTTGAGCCATATAAATAACCTTTTCTGTCCACCCTCGATGCTAAGGTTAAGTTTTTTATTAGCACATTATTTTGTTTGAATTCTTTTGGGAATAGCATTTGGATGACCCAGCCATGTTTGGATATATCCATGAATGTTTCTGAAATCTATACACATACATTTAAGGTACCTAAGTGGCTTCATTTTGAATCATCAGAAACTCTAAAATATCAAAGGTTTTCAACCACTTTCCCACTTCTATAAACATAAAACAAATATGTTTTAAATTAAACATTTCTTATTTTACTTGAATGAGTTACAGAGATAAAGAGGGGAGACAGAGAGCTCTTCCATGTATTTGTTCACTCTGCAACAGCCAGAACTGACTCCACCTGACGCCAGCAAGCAGGTGTGTGTTTTTTAAAAATTGCCAAAGGGGGCACAGGAGGAATTTTTTTAATATATAAGATTTTTTTTAAATTTTGTTTACTTGAAAGACAGAATGGAGAATGGGTAAGAGAAAAAGAAGGATAACAGAAAAAGGGAGACATCTTCCATTCACAGGTTATTCCACAAAATGACCTAAATGACAGCAGCTGAACCAGGCAGAAGTCAGGATCCAGGAACTCCAGCCACATCTTTCACTTGAGTGGCAGGAGGCCAAGTACTTCAGCCTTCTTCTGTTGCTCTCCTAAGCACATTAGCAGGGGATTCGATGGGAAGCTGAACATCTGGGATTAGAACAATGACTACAGGTGACGCCAGCATCGCCTATATACTGAGCCATAACGCTGACTTCAGTGAGTTGATTTTATCAATTGAAGAGGTTGAATAAATCAGAAAAAAAATAAGTTTTTAAAAAAGGAAATCAGGAACAGCATTGTGGCATGGTAGAGAGTCTCACTATGCAGGTATCTCAAGTGGATGATGGTCTGAGTCTTGGATGCTACACTTTCAATCCAGTTCCCTGTTATTTTGCCTGAGAAAGCACAGAAAATGGCCCACATACATAGGTCCTGCATCCACATGGCAGATCCAGATTAAGAATCTGACAGCCCTGTCCAACCACTACCATTGTAGCCATGTGGGGAGTGAATCAGTAGATGGAAGATCTTTCTTCTCTGTCTTTCCTTCCTGTATAATTCTTTCAAATAAGTAAATAAATCCTTATATAAAAAAGGAACTTCTCACTTCCAAGTTAACTTTCCTGGTAAAAGGGGACAGGGACATCAAAATAAATAAAAAATTTGTATATAACAGGTCATTCCTGATTACTTTGTTTATAAAGATTGAGACAGAGGGAACTTCATTGTCCTGTGGATCAGAACTAGCCTGTTTGGGAAATTTGGCTGTTGCTCCTCTCATCTTGATTTCTTCAAAGTTCAGAAGACAAGTAGGTTTTGGTATGATGACATAAATCTTTAGTGTCAGTGACTAGATTTTTATGTTATTCTGGTCTACAAAGGCCCAGGTGGGAGTTTAACCCAAAACAGTGTGTCCTGTTAGTTTTTTAACAAGACAGATATTTGTGATTTTAATTTATTTGGACCATTGAGCCTTAATTT